ATGTACATTCAAACTATATCCTATATCTACATTTTTAGATTTTCAGGACCTCGAATGGTACAAACACCAGTCCCTCGTTGTCATAATAAACACGGAACCAGGACAACTCGCCCCCAAGACAACTCGCCCCCGACAACTGTAAAGACAACTCTCCCCCAATTTAGGACAACTCGCCCCCAGTCAAGACAACTCGCCCCCATTGTAGAGACAACTCGCCCCCATTGTAGAGACAACTCGCCCCCATTATTTTTTCTTGTGTATTGCAGGGAAAAACGACATTTTTATACAATAAAAAATATATTTAAATGCAAATTTATAATTAATATGTATTATAAATAAAATGAAATTAATATTTACGATTGTGTATGTTGTTATTTGTTTGTTTGTTTGTTTGTTTGTTTGTTTTTTTGTTTTTTTTTTCACTAATATATAAAGTAAACACTGTGTAGGTATAAAATATTTATTATTTCCTTAGTTTTTTTCTCGTGAAATAGAGCAAATAAATGCATTTTGATTTATCATATTGTTTAAAATTTATATTTGTAGAATATGTCTGGGTAAATCAAGTACAATGTTCTAAGTGTTGAAAAATCTTAATTATTTAATGATATATTAATGAATTCCATCAACGACGGCTTTTAGGAAACTTATGAAAACTAAAATGAAAACATCACACAGAATTTTAATGAAATCCCCAAGCTCACAAGTATAATTTGAAACTTCAAAGTAATGATTAATTAGGACATGCAAGCCCCGAAATTTACGTATATTTCGTTGATAAAAAATTGGAACTTCAAAGTGATGATTAATTAGGACAAGCAAGCCACGAAAATTACGTATATTTAGTTGGTCAAAAATGGGCTTGTCCAAGCTCAGAAGCAGCTTTAAATTAATGAAGAATTAGAGCCAGATCCAAGGGAACCGGAATTCGCTCGTCCAAAGTTCAGCAATGCCGTGAGGACAGCCAACAAACGGCGACAAGCTGATCGACCAGAGGAATCCAGGGACATGAACTTCGAGGTATGAATTTATTTCAAAATTTATTTTAGTAATCCTTAACTTTTTCATATACCTACGTTATACCTACGCTATACCTGCATTATTTTTTTTAAGATTTAAAAATAATTCCACATGATAGAATTAATTTATACATAAATATTAAATACAATGTAGAAGATTAATGTTAAAATCTCAGAATAATAATTTTTTCTTTTGTTTTTAGATTGATTTGGAATTCCTGGAGCGCCATACTTCGTCGGATTGCTACAGAGGAGACGTCACCGTTGGAGATCCATCAGCGCCAGCAAACTACCGAAGAAGTGTGGACAGATATACAACGGACAGTAAAGAAGAAAAACGTGCCGAAATTTGTGATTAAAGTGAAAATAACTGTGAATGAAAAGAAGATAGTGCTGAAAATAAATATTAGTGTACATATTATTTATGATTTATTTTCAATAAAGTTCAGAAAAGAATTTATTTTCGTTTTGTTTATTGTTATATTTCTTGAAAGGGAAGTACAATTTTAAAGCGTACCTGACGCCAGAAACATTTCAAATAAAAAATAAATATCGAAATAATATTTAGATATATATATATTAAATAAAAAAGATATACATTTATATCAAAAATATCGCTCCCAGTTTGCTTTCTTAAAGCTGGGGGCGAGTTGTCTTAACCTGGGGGCGAGTTGTCTTAACAGGGGGCGAGTTGTCCTAAATTAGGGGCGAGTTGTCCTGAAAAGGTGGTGAGTTTTCTTTGGGTCGAGTTGTCTTGGGGTGAGTTGTCCAGCATTCATAAAACCTGTTTGCTGACGTATCTCCACATTAATAGAGCCATGCAAATAGAAAGTGTGTAAAACAAATTAAATATACTCTGCATAAATTTATCCTTTGCTTGCTGGACAGTAAGAACAAACCCAGAACAATACTTAGTTTAGAAACTTAAGCCATTTATTTATTTATTTTTTTTAGAATTTGATAAAAAAAAAAAACGACAGAGAATAGATATTTTGAAATTTTTGCTTAAAGTATCATTCAATAAATTTTTCGGTTTCGATTTTAATTTGTAAGGATATACTACTTGCTTAAAGGATTTTCTCAATTACATACCCTCCCCTTGTTTTAACATTACACGACCTTGTTAATCACATGATAGGCTTTTACATTGTTTTATAATTTTGACAAAGAGTAGTAGAACTCTATGGGTCCAAGTGCAGCAAATTCACTTGTAATACAACCTGTCCACCTGCTTGATATTCATTCCAGTGGAAACATTTAATCTTTTTTGGATAGTACTGTTGTGAAATTTATATTCAAAATAACAAAATATGTTGATTTTTTGGAGTATGTGTTTAAAATGGGATACCAGATTTAAAACAGCTCAATTAAGGAAAGAGTCTACAATCAACCCAGAGAAAAGAAAAAAAATGTAAATTTTGTTTTAAATTGTGTCATTGTTTTGTGTTAAAACTATTTTAGAGAAGGAGGTTTAAGCAACAAAAGTGCGTAATTACCTGTAATTGCGCTTATTGAGTCGAACTTTTTCTGTAATGCAGATGTTGCACATTTCATCCTACTGAAAGAAAGGGAACATTATCATCCCAAATGTGTTATTTATGTGACAGATTGTTAGCCAGTGGCATTAAATATTTACAAAAGAATATTTTTCAAAGTGACAAATAGCATCAATTTTTCTCCCTCTGAACAGCAGAGCTATGTTAGATCAAAGATACTTCTAGAACAAAGGGAGCATCTTTTTTATCATATCATCCTACTAACAGACTAACACTGAAATGGAATCATCTAAAACGACGTAGATAAAGCCAATGGCACAATACTCCTAATTGATACATAATGACGAATAGCATTAATGATATATTGTTCAATTGACAAAGCGTTGTTAAATATAGATGTATACGCGTCAAAGATGGTTCTAGAACGAAATTAGCCTCTTATCATAATTATTCAAAGACGCACTATTCAATTTTCAAACTATAAAGTGTTTGTTTAACTAGAGTTTCGACCCATCCCCCTCCCCTCCCAAAACAAAAACACTAAAATTTCACTGAATGACAACTAAATTTAATTAAATGATCACTTCAATTTTAAATAAAGAACACGAAATATCAATGGGGGGTCACTTAACAGAAGTGAAAAACACTTGTTGGTGGGTGTCTGCATATTCAGATATAAGGTGCAAAATAGCAACATCTTTTGATGAAAAAATTGTATTTCTTATTTTTAATAAGTTCGATCTCAACGGTCACTAAGAATAGCTATTTCTTAACATAAATTTTTGCACCACTAATCGTAAATCTTTTTGCAAACCGATATAGATAGAATGTTATAATATTCAATTTAATTTCAATAATCAAAGGAGGAAGCCTAATAAAAATGACACTTAATGTCTTTTAGAAGATATTTAATTCAATAATAGAAAAAAAAGTAATGTTTGAATTTTTGTGTATTATTTCCAACTGAAGTATTACTCAACTGCCTGTTCCTTTCTGCACAATCGTGTTTTATTTTTTTTTTAAAGATGTTGCAGCATTTAAATTAACATGTTCACAATATGGGGTTAATATTCTTGATTTTATTGAGAAAAAATGTTTAATAGTGGGGATAAACGTTGGAAAATTCTTTGCATCCTTGTTACCAATATTCATTAGTTCTTGAAATACTATGGGCGCATTACTAAAACCAAAAGGTATTCCCTTTAAATGAAATAAACGATGGTGACATGGAAATATATATATATTTTTTGTTTCTTTGACTTATTGATATTGACGATACCCTTTTTATGATCTACGTAGAATTTTTAAAAATTAAATCAATAAACAAAGGATTTCATCTTCCAGGCGAAGAGGACATGATGCTAGTGTTTCAATTTTATTAAATTGTAGATACTTTCTTGGCTGTTTTACATGTTTCATTCCCTCACCATCTTTCCTTTACCGTTAAACAAAAACGCTAATATGGCTCCGAACTTAATTCAAGCAATGGTATTGTTTTGTGGTCTTAATCCCAATCTGAGAAACACAGAAGCTCTAGTCCCTAAGTTCTTTTACTAATCTACTTCAATGTTTCTAACAATATTATTCTGGTCAAGAAAAATTGATTGTACTTTGCATTCCTTGTAAAAAAATTTTTTGGTGCTTAGACGAAACGTTATTTCAAAGGTCGATATACTTGCATTTTTGGAGTGACCTCAACAAAAGTCGATGTTTGTATAATATTTTGATGGGATTTATTGGTTATATCTAATACGTATAGCTATATCATGAAAGAACAGTTTACTTAGCTATAAATACATGTACATAAGATATCAAAATTTAATTTGGTCTCCTAAAATTATTACGTTTCATTAAAGTCACCTTTCTAATAAAAAATCACTATGTGGTACAACATTAATATCAATAAGCCCTTGTTGTACTTTTATTGTTATGATCTAGCAATATTTAAAGCTAAAATGATAATGACATTTATATGTTTCAAGTTCAAAATATTGCAATTATATGTCCGTTCTAAGATCTACAGTTTTACAATTATTATTTGAAATATTATAAATACATGTAGATTTTACATACTGATGCAAAGTAGGTTGCAATCTTTTACATAAAACATAAAACAAAAAACATCTCTCTAATAATAAAAATTACAACACGGGTTTATACATCATAGTTATTTCTGATCATATATCAATAATGCTAAATCGATGGCTTTTTTTTTCATTTGTAATCTATATATCATATAACATGTGGTGCTACTTATTAAAGTATGAGTGCATTCCAAACCGAATAGGATGAGTACTACATGCGCACGCACTTCTACAATTTCATCCATCTTTCCTCTGGTCAAAACAGGTCTTGTGATCAATCAATAGAACTTTAAATGTGCCAGGTTGATTGACCGACGTGATAAAGCAGGTTTCAAAATTGAAGTGCATTTTTGCAAATAAAACATATAAAAGGATCATAATTGAACACTTAATGAAACACAAATTTTACATCCCTGGTATTCACATCTGATCGGATCGTATATTTTGAAGGTATTTTTTTTTCTATCTTTTGCAAGTCAAATAGATATTTCATGAGTTTTTCGTCCTATCAGTCTCATTATGCATACTTGTTTTCTCCAGGAATCAAATAATTATTGAAAGGTCATTGCTTTTCTTACTTTTTCAAGACTTTAATCCTTGCTGTGGTCACGTTTCTTTCCTCCTCGAAGCATCAATTATCTTGCTTCATATTACTTTTATGTTATCAATTAAAAGAAGATGAACAAGGCGTGCAGAATCCCCAAAGATTCAGACTTATAAAATACCGTATTAATGTTATGAATAAAATACTTAGAGTAAATTAAACTATGAAATTATGACAAATTACATTAAAAAAAAAAAAAAAAAAAAAAAAAAACAAACGGGAAAATCTGTTATTAAAATAAATGATATGATATTCGTGGGTTTGGAACTCTGCAATAAAAATATTGAATATCAATTCCGTTTGAGATGCTTAGACGCTAACTACTGGGCTACACAACTCCTTACGAATAGTGGCATTTAGATATACCCTTGATGAAATAAACATCATGTATTTCTCGAAAAGATCTGAATGTTCTGACATTTAATTGTATTTTTAACATATTGGTGTTTTTTTTTTACTCCATGTTTCTATTAACCAAAAAAAGTATAATTTTACGCAAACTTTAAAGATAAACTTTCAAGAAAATTGAGCAAAGACCCAGTCCTATTGAACAATTGTATTATACTAAAATGATCCTTGTTGCCCTTTTTAGTTTGTGTATGCTATTCCATTGGCATATTATTTTAATCTTAGTGAGATTTTTGCAAGTTATAGACATGTTATGTAAAGTATTCTTAAATGTGAAATAAAATATCAAAGAAAACTGGTTATATTCAGATTTAATTTTTCATTTTCATGTTTGCCGCACTATAAGCATTCTGCAACCATGTCCACCCATCATCTTTTTAAAGGACATAACAATTGCTGACATAATCTTGAAGCAAAGTTTTAAAGTAAATTTTTCTAAGCAAATTTTTCTACAGAATATTACATTGTATGTAATATTTAACTTATTTTTTATATATATAGATGAAGACTTTGTTGGCCTCGCTTCTGGCTGCTCTGTTATTGACAGTCCTTGTCCCAGATATGACCTCTTCTCAAATCATCAGGGGACGCTGCTATACCATGGCCCAGTGTGAGCAAAATATGTCGTGTTTTCGGTACTGTAGAATGCGGGGATATACTATCGGAAATTGTCAATTGTCTCTATCCTGTCCAGGACAAAATAGATACAAATGCATCTGCAGCACAGAAGACGTTGAAGATATGATCAATTATCTGTGAATAAATCCTTAATAAAACTATATATTTAAAAATGAACATTTTCTTTTCTTTTTATTTTATTCACAGTTTATTTTCACAAAGTGAATTGATCATTGATGATATTTAAATGAAAATTAATCGAATAAGTATAAAAATAGAATAAATAGTTGATGCATATCGTTGTAGGGAATTTTAGGTTCAAGAATATGGATAGATCTAACATTGCGCAGTGAAATGAACTTGTGTGAAAATTATGTTCCTTGTAAGCAACAATATGTTAAGGTTGCTTCCCAAAATCACAAAGACATCACATTATTGTGAAATTTTAAATAAAGAATCTAAATCTAAGCGGTTAAACATTTTTACTGAAATGAACATAATATTGTAAAGTTATTTTTTTTTAGATTTTTTGACAAAACATAGCATCATCTGTCCTTAAGGTTTTTTGTTAAAAATGTAGGGATCAAAGGCATAAAACGTTGTTTAAAAAACTCAACTAATAAAAGGCACATGTAAATACGATTAAATGGTTTCCTTGTACATGTCAAACTGAAATATTACCGTCATATACAGATTTTAATTGAAAATTGAATTTTTTGTAGAGGACTGGTTATCGCAGTGAAATGTAACCGTTATAAGAAATTTTTCTAGTTTCTTAAGTCAGCTAATTTTTCATGTTTTAAAAAGAACTCTTTTTTTAGCTTTTCAAATTATTTTCTTAATTAGATTTTCAACTCTTAATCTATATTGAATTAAAACACCGGTGATTTCAGATCAACACCTGTCATCGTTTGATATTGCTTGATTATCTTTATGCAAAATAACATCAAAAGCAAAAATAATATGGCTCTCAGTTATTTTGACAGTTTACTCTAGTGTAATAACCTTTTATGTATTTATCTCCAAATGTCAATTTTACACATGTCACAATTTTATTGTTATATATACTGTTGAATTGTTTTGGGTTATCAGTCGGAATCGGACAGCCGTCCTGAGCACACCGACCTGTATCAAAATTTGTCAGATCCAAATAAAAAGTTAAAACAGCGGTCGGAGTTTGTTTTGAATCCGTTTAATAAGACTCATAGCTAGAAAGAAATGCAAATCGTGTCTGACAGAATAATCGTCAGGAAACTCAAAGAGAAGTTCTTCAAGCCAGCAATAACCCGTTCACGTTTTCTTAGTCTATAGGGGTCTTATTCTAACACATCCCGAGTTTTGATCGGGTTTAGACCAAAACTTTGGTAATTTTTTTATTGAAAACGGAAAACGTTTTGTTGAGGACATTAGTAATCTGTTTTAAAAATACTGGTCTTATACTTGTAGAGTAAGATTTCCCCTCTAACCTCCCACCCCCTCCTTGGAAAGCTGGCTCTAGAGAAGGGTTTTTATTTGAGTTTTCACCCACGAAGAAATGACTCTAGAGTAGTATATCCCCTAAAGAAACCAATCCCACACCAGATTCAATTTTCCAGGGGAAATCCTGCTTTATGCAGTAGTGATAGAGTGCGATTTTCCCCAGAGCCGAATAAAATAGCTGTACTTACAATTACGGAGGAAGGGGTGACACATTGTTACAAGTGTCTTCTTCAAAATGGTGACCAGATTTTTTAAAGCATATGACGAATGAAGAACTTATATCTTAAATCTTATTTTTCTCAGCAAAAGTCAGACCAATTCTTTAAAGCAATGAAAACTTGTTACTTTCATGTGTTCAGAATTGTGTCTGAAAAAAATTAGTAAAATTTTAATCGATCGGACTTTTTTTTTTGTATCCACAGAAACACAACGGAATTGCTTTTCTCTAATTTGTTTTCTACTTTAAATTCATGCTACCATGTTTCATGAAACAGCGAGTTTAATTATGAACATGAATTGTTCAAAGTCTTCAGAATATCGTACAGCAATAAAAACAACTCACAACAATTGTTTCCAAAAGTCTAAGGATTTATGTCTATAATGCATGATAGACATATTATCATGGTAATCAACTATTGTACTTACATAATATATGTTTCTATGGAAATAAAGTTTCAAAAGTAACGAATAATTCCATTAACTCGTTTGAATTGAGTGATCTAATAAAATAGTAATTATAGGTTGAAATGCAACCAAATAGTACAAAAAGATTCTGAAACAAAATTTTAATTTTGTTGGTTGGAAAATAGTTGCTTTTTTTTTAAATGCGCATGCGTCTCAAATATAATTTAAGTACATGTGCGATTATCCTTTCTTTTTTTTAGAGAGCATATATCTATATAAGTATTGATGATATTTAAAAGGCGATTGCGTTGTCAGAATGTCAGCATTTCTAATTTTTCAAATTATTTTTTTTTTGAAGAGAGAAGTGCTTTCTATTTATGTCTAAAACATTAAAAAAGAACTTTTCTCATTAATACAACAACAACAAAATCTTTTATCTTGAAAAAATCGTTAATCCCGCATTGTGACAGCCATTTATTATAATCGTCTGATTTTCATCTCTGTAAATTTTAGGGAATAATGGTAGCCATGCCAGGCAGACCAGTTTATACCATCAGCATAAGAAGCATGATTTCCAGTCAAGTATAGTCCGTTAAGATTGGATGCATGGCAATTGTCATACCACCACCCGCCTTTGTATGTGGCAGCACAGCTATTCGAGTCGTGGTCTTTAGTATAAAATTGGTTCCCATTGTGTCGAGAAAATGAATCACCTGTATCAATTAGACACATTAATCAGATATGAAATATTGATAAATTATTATTTTTTAACGCTGAGTTGACAATATTTCAGTCATATTTCAGCGAGTGAATGCAAGAAGTTAGGGCTAAAATCATGAAAGGCAAGTACATGTAATATATTGCTTATTGTTCATAGATTATGATAAAAGTAATGTTTGAAGAGAAAAAATATAGAACTGTTATAAAGTAACCTGCATCTCCCACGTAGTCTTCAACCGTTAAAACATACCCGCTGTGTTCGTCACCGATGGAAAATCTTCTGTACAAGGCATATTTCCTAACGCTGTTAAAGTCACCCATATCTATTCGAAGTTCATAGAAACCCTGCTTGACGATTTCATAGATACGGTGGTTCCCTGTAAGAGATAAAAATAATAATACCTGGCTGATTTTAAGTACAAATTCTGTATTACATGGACGAATACCAAACATTTTATTTTTACTCATGTAAATACATAATGAAAGATTTCCTGTTTACAGGTAGACAAATCACATTTGATTATTGATAATAGACAAATAAAATGACGTTGTTTTTTTTTAAACCTTAAAAAAATCTGGTATCAGATACTGTGGTATTGTTTTAAAGCATTTTAGAGTTGCAATAGGATGTTCAAGACAATAAATTTATCTAAGCAGTGACTACTCTTTAAATGTTGCATTGCAGCCTACAGAAACAATATCATTTTGAAAAATGATATTACATATTAATTAGGGTTATGTCGAAAATGCTGTGTCGGGAATTTGCATTTAAATACATAAGAAATAAAAAGACAGTTGTACTTGTAAACTATCCTTTGATCCAATACTTGTTTAGAATTAAATTTTATTCATTGAATTTAGAGATAAACATTCAGGGACAGTACATGCCCATTTAATAAGGCTATGTTTCAATTGAATTTCAGACAAGGATGGGTTCGATACACCAATAAATAATGTATTATTTTTAATTAACTTACCTAACCAGAACTCATCCGTTATATTTCCAAATCCATATTTATAATCAATCCAGTTCCGAAAGAAATCAATTATTCCGTCATCTCTCCTTTGAAAAACCTAAGACAAAAATAAAACATTGATTGAATACAATCATAAATTCGTAAATATAAAACTAGATAAAACACACATTTCAACAATTTACCGTCCAGCCTCCCCCGTCAGTTTTTTGATCACAGAAAACGTCGAGTTGTCCACTGCCCTGAGGGTAAATCGTGTACACCCCACTCTCCGAATACCCCGACCACAAAATATCCTGACAATCTCGCGGGAAAAACTCAGCTGAAGTACACAAGAAACTAAAGTGTTTTTTTTTTAGTTAAGAACGCACTTCAAAAGTGTTTATTTACCTTGTTTGAAATACAGTATGAAGAAATAGCAATTTGTTCAATTCATGACATCTAAATGTGTAAAAGTAATGAGTAAATGCTGATGATGAATTTTCAAATATGATAAATGCATTTTAAGTGTATGATTATTTTCTTTCTATTTTGTCAATCAAATGACCATTAAAATACAGAAATAAAACAAATCATAACGTACTTCCCGATCCCTGCCCAGGATGTCCGTGGTTACCCTCGAATAAGAAAGCACAGACTGTTGGTAACAAATGAATAACAAATAACAAGACCGACATTTTAAAGATAAAATAAAAGGTAGTAAATGACCATTCAATATATATTGAATTGATAAGTCTTATCAATGTTGCTTACTGACCCAATGTTCCATTTCCTTTTCTCTACAAATATTGGGCTCCGTTCGTTTTCTTTTGAAAGTTATCGATTCTCAATGAACGTGGTTACATTTTTAGAATATATAATGTATTATAGCTTTGTGTAATTATTGGATGAAGAAATGAGTATGTACGTAGACAGTTAGGAATTTTAGAAGTATTGTGTCCTGATAATTTGGAAATACATTGTATCCTTTATATATATTTGTAGCTGTTGCATAATTTTTATGTAAATCTTTCTCTAAGATGTTGATACCTAATTAAATATTAAATATGAACTTTTGCACTGCTTTGACACAAATTAATGACAAAAACCCAATAAGCTGCTGTTTTTCAATATTACAGAATTGAATCCTTCATTCAACATTTAATCGAACTTTTTGCACAAATTAATTTTTACAAATATGATCGAGCTATTCAAAAGGTTCATGGACATACAAATTTTGCGCAAAGTAATTTGCAATATTTAATTTTTTGGAAGTCTCTGCTAAAATTTAAAAAAAAGATCATATATGTGCATAAAGTGGAAAATTTCAGTACCGGAACTTTTTTGACAAATAAAAAAGGACTCGACTCTTTCACGCATAGGCTAAAAATAGTCATAATACACAATTAGGTCATACGCTGAACTATCATACCAGGTCATTACATGTACGTGTTAATCATCAACTAATTTCTGCTAAATTCTTATTTTCCTCGATGTTTTTTCAAATAACTATCGGTCATATAAGTACTTGTTTATTGCGCCATTAAGATCGGTAAGGACAAACAGTATGTGTTCAATTGAATTATCAAACAAATGTCAACAGTAATCAAATTTTTATCTGAATAACGATTGCTGCTATTAATTTATTTGACATTTTGTTATTTTCCTAGCCCCTATTTGATCATGACTATTTGATGATAGATTGAGTCTATTTAGCTGATCCCTGCCTCATAGTATATTCATTCACCCTCTTTAAATCAAATTGCCATTACATGATTAAGTAACTCTTATTCCCTATTATCTCTAATCAAGGGCTCTAACATCGAACTTTATTAGTTTGAACTATTTATATATATTTTAGGCCTTGCTTTGCTATTCTATTGGAAGCTTTGTTTCTGAGATTTTCTAGAACATGAACTTTTAAAAAGTACTCCATCTATTTTTTTTTTTATATTATCATCTTGCTCCAATCTTCATTGAATATTGAACTATTATTTCAGATGAATGTGGTTTGTACTACTGCAATGTTGCCTATACTCTATACAAACACATGAATAATGCGGATTTTCTGTGTCATAAAAACTAAAGAGATTCACAATCGATAGCAGCTGTCAATACCAAATTTAGAATGCATTTAGTCTGATGAATTTCAAGCAAAGTGATTTGAATAGATAGACGAAGGTGTTAATCTTGAAATATATGAGAAAAAATAATTTAGTTTAAAATCAATATTTCGTAATCAATATTTAATGATTCTTTTTGTTATTTTTACACACACACACCAAAAAAAAAAAAATCAGACAATTTTTGTGTCCACCGCTGAAGGAAAACAAATGATGCTCAGATTTGGGGATGGGGTGAATACACAAATTAAGATGGTGTTCAAAGGTTACGAAATTATATTCGTATATTAGTATACATTGAATAATAATTACATCATAGGTTCTTAAGAAATAAATTGAGTTATTGCAAAATGCTTTGTTCAAAAACACAAAGGTTATATACATGTCTTTAGTAATTTATTGCAGCTGCTTCAGTATATCAAAAAGGAAATAAAATTGAGAGGACACTGTGAACTGAATTTATGAACAATAGGATAATGAGATATAAAATACTTGCTGATTGTTGACATTTATTAGAGCATATAATTATTATAATTATGTCAAAATTTTAACGATTGACGACGGTAAATATTCCCGTCAAATTATTTGTATCACATTCGTCAAAAGAGACCGGTTCGGCACTTTACACTAAAGGTCTGTATCATTCTTTGTCTTTATTAATACATGTTAATCGGAATATTTAAAGACAACAATCTTTAAAATTTCAATTTTCATGCGTTATATCCAACTTGTTCTCTAAATTGGTGCAATTTCTTATTCCTTATACTATTGGTATTAATGGTATAAATGTAGCAGGCGAAAATAACGATTATAGAGATCGATCTGAAAGAAATCATTAAATAAGCCAAACAAAATTTACGGAATGCATGAAAGACCCATGGAAATTCCAGGCCCCAAGACAATAAAATGAAAATAGACTCAAGTCAAAATTTTAATTTAATATAACTTTTGAAATAGTTTTCATAAAAAAACAAAATTTATACCATAAGTTTAAATTGAAATATTATACAGACATTCAAATTTATGACAATGTATATATTATAAATGACAAACTATTCAAAATCAAAAATTTAGTCTGTTCTCAGTCTATGGTCTCCAGCCCTGAGGTGAGATAAGGTGCTTACATGTACATCTATATCTGTATTTAAATTAATTCTTTAATTATCACTGCATTATCTGTCGAAGAGTTTCAGATTACAGAAACTTTTCGAGCGAAGAAAGATATTGTCGAAAGAAAGAATGAGTGGACTTAACTGGCCAGAAAAAATGCCGTAAATTTAAGTTCCATAAAATGTTAAATTTTTTTCCATCATATTAACCCCCATTATCTTAAATGTATATTTTTGGTACGGATGTGAATTTAAAGTGCTCTTTTCGAGGTAAACTAAATAAAAATCGAATGCTTGGTGCCTGAAGATTTCTTGAATATCAATAGATAATAAGGGTCACGCATTTTTCATCGTCTAAATACATAGCCAGCGCATGTTTGTCGGCTGTTCTTACGAAAACTGTATAGTTGTATATTGAACAAAATATTATCATGTTAAAAGGAGAAGAGCCGACAAATGTGCGCTCACACTTAATTTAACAAAAAACATGTTCAAAACAAACTTCCCGCTTCCATTGTTACGACTTCGATTGACCTGTTAAATATTACAATCCTTCACGTGATGTCCACCTGCGAGTGTACTCGTGGAAAAAGTTACAGTGTATTCTTTAACCTGACCACGATGTAAATCACTATGTTTGGTTGCCGTTTTCAGAATTTAGCACATTAAATGTTGTTTTAATTTTGCGTGTCCTCACATTTAAAAAAATCATAATGACATCGCTGTAATATGCCAAATACGTATTCGAATTTCTAGAGGGAGAGAGATGGAAAGAGAGAGAGAGATGGAAAGAGAGAGAAATGTCAACAATGACACCGATCGATAGTCCCGCCTCCTATTAATATTGATAATGTGACCTAAAAACCACCCGGGAACATGTCAAATCCCGGAAGACGACACTAATGTATCGTTGCTTCAATTTTGATTCATGGCAACAAGGCATTGCTTTTATACATACATGTATGTTCTAGCTAAAATAACCAGGTATAAGCTGCTCTTTCTATTGCTTGTAATATATTTTGGATTCACTTTATTTTCAGCTTGTTAGAGTAGTTGCAAAACGATCCAAAATAGGGCGTTAAGTCCACCCATTCTTTTGCTTTTAAGTACTGTCATTGACATGTTATTCATGTAATAAAAAAATTTACGCTTTGAAGTGACCTAGTGTAAGTATAAATACAATGAATCGGTATTTTTTAATCGGTAAATTATGTGGTTTGGAATAAAGTTTAGTTTTTTTTATTGGAAAATGGTTCCAACTTTTGTACTGAGTTTAAAGTAAAACGCAAGAACAGTACACCGAAAATTAAAGAGATGAACGTCAGAAAGAAAAAAAAATAATTTTGAAAGATCTGTAATAATAATCTCAAATCCGGAAATAAAATGGAACAACAATCTTTTTTTTTTTCTTTTTATATCTCAATTTTATCTGTATTCATAACGCAAAAAAAAAAATGAAAAATCTCAAGCTTTCGAATGAGTTAATGTAATGGGAAATTGCTCGAAATCAACAGACCCTACATGAAAAAAATCAAAGATGCCTTATAATGTTAGCGTTTATTTCTGTAAATCGTTTTTATTCTAATGAAAAATTTCATGTATAGTTGCGAATAAATAGATTATATGAATAAATCTTGATTCTAAAAAACGTCGAATATACCATTGCTGTAGGGTATTTAAACATGGTGTACATATGTACAACATATCTTTATCTGAATAAAGGAATTTAATGACATTCAGCTTTATTTTATGCGGAATATTTATTTGTAGATGACAAGACTCCTGGTCCTCCTATTCATTGTCAGTGTGGTAAATACTGTCCACTCCTGTAGGAGTTGCAGAAAGTTTGGAGTCTCTTATGAAGGGAATAAACCATTCCAGTATGAAAGCGGATGTCGTCAATTCAAATGCCAGTGTAATTGCGACGGTTCATATGACTGTCCAATCATTAAGAACATCTGTGGAGGAAATGGAATAAGTATATGGGATGCAACATGGAGGAGATAGGTCTCAGCATAATGAACCCAAATGCTGCAGTATTGACCAGTTGACTTTTAGAAAGATGTCTGCCCTTACTACTACCAAATTGTAAAGACTACATGTATATCTCCACCGACCATTCTGAAGAATATTTATTGTATATAAGATTGTATGATTCATACATAAAACAAATGAAATTGTCTTGGTGTTTATTTCAGTGTGCATGTACAATAAAAAAAATATTTAATGAATTTCAGGAAAAATATATTAAAAAAACAATTGATGTGTTTTACATATATTGTTGTAGCACATGTATACCTTTAACAAACATACAGGAAAGATTTTAAAAAGAACATAACTCACATCATGTTATAAATTGTATACGGATTTTAGCGTTTTACAGATCATTGTTTAGAACACAGGCTCGGTGATTATTCCTCCATGCCATATGACCCTACCTCTACTAGAACTTGAGGTTTGTATTGGTCATGCTCTGCTTTGTAGTACCCCGATTCTCCTTCGAGCAAGATTGCTTGTTGTTATGGTCTCATTTCATTAAACAATGTGAGTTAAGAGGGGATCCTTTGGAAACCCAGGTTTTGAATCAGGAATCCAGAAGGAGAAAACACCCCCTGTCGATATATTAAGCCCCTTTTGACTCCTCTTTATTGATAGTCAGCAAAACTCCACTTACATCTGTGATCCTTGTACATGTAAAATTGTTTTAATCGCTTGTCTCCATATAAATATCATTAAATTTTACTTATCTTCACCTATTTTTTTTTTTATTTAAAAATTCTTTATAAAGATAAGTAATTTTTTTAAAAATATGTTTCGTAATTAAAGAATCTGTTTTCAGTTTTGGTGAATATGTTGAAATAATACAGGGTATAAATATGAAACATTGATAAATGTCATTTAAGTAAGATTTAAGTGGTAAATTAAGACTTCATCAAGCTGTAACACTGGAATACTATAGTTTAAGAAGCTGAAGTTGCTCTTCAGTTTGTGAGAGTTCGAACTGATCTTCGAGATAATCATCTGCATACACAAGCGTATGTCTGACAGCGGAGAGCGCCAAAATATCAACTGATATTTGCTGCTGTGTTTCTTTTTCATAGTTCTTCACTGGGAAAACATGAGAGCGTGGAAGCCCAATGACCTCAGCCGCTTTGTCCACCGCTTGTTTACAAGCTTCACTGTTGAATATTCTGCGAACGTCGTCATCCACAAATGGACAGATTTTATCCAACTTCGTCAAATAAACTATTTGTGGAATTCCTAAAAATGAGACATTCAATAGTAAATGCTATTTATGTTACTGAATATTACTTTTATTCGAGCAATGTGTCTTGCATGCATGTTTTACAAGAACCCCGAGTAGCGAATTTCTACTATCAAATTATGAAATTCTGTTATATTATGGCATTTACCATACATGAATTTCAAAGAACAAGGGCTTAATTAGGCCATAAAACTCAATATTCTTTTAAAGTAATAAAATTGGTTATAAAACGAGTTTACTAGATGAATATGATGAATTGTAAAAGAATATGGCATAATGGATGACTATTCTTGAAATATGGCGTCATTCATATGGTATATTTCTAAGCTTTATGCAGAACCGTCTTAAAATTATTCATTTAGAGGTTATTTTCCTTTAGAAAATAGTGTCCGTATTAAACCGTCACCAACTTCAGTTTTTTTTTTTATATTTTATGTGAAATACTTTGAAAAAAATCACATTTATAAAAAAGATCTTTGTGTGCGATCTTTGTGTTGTATGTTTCTGAAGGATAATCTACTGAAAATTTATATCCTCTGCCAAAAAAATTGTATAAATTCATGACGTCAAAATCATCACTTAGGATGTCATATAATAAAATTTGTACGTTTTTAAATAATTTAGAGCGGATAAATTTTAATTCCTAAAATCACTTCCATATTAAAAAAAATACAGTGTAAGATATATACTGAAACCACAACTTGTTCTCATGAAGAAAACATGTTAATGTGATACATGCTAAAAGTCTTTTAAAACTAAAGAAAAAAAATCATTGTTTCATATATCAAATGACAAGCGTTTTTATTCAACAGCACAAGCGTATACGTACGGCACGCTAAATATTATACAAATATGGACTCAATGTAGGTCAATATGCATTTATAATATCCCAGGACGACAGATATGACCAAAGATACTTATAGTATATCGACCTAGGGCGGTAGCCCAAGGTCGATATACTCCATGTATCTGAGGTCAATATCTGTCGTAATAGGTCATTATAAATGCATATTGACCTTGCATTGAGTATTTATTATATTATATAAATGATAATTTCCAAAACTTATAAGTACAATGTATATCTTCCTTATGTTTACAGAGATAGTATTAACCATAACGAAGTTGAATGTAAATGTTTCAGAATTTATTGAATGTCACTTAGAGGAACTTCTTTCGGTATTGAATTTTAACCCATACGGCCACAGCATAATAATAACGCAAGATATCTATCTCCGAGTAAAACAGAGTACCCCCTACCCCAGATTGAGAATCGCTCTATATACACTTGCAGAGGAAATACAATGACAAAATAAAAATGCCTATCCCATCTCTTCTACGATAAGATTAAACCATACATGGCATTCTTGACAATTGTCTTTATTGATCCGTTATCGCGTAAACAGCGTCAAAACTCTGTTCGCCGAGTGGAAAAGTCGAATTCAACTATGAAATGGTATGTGCTAAGAATTCCCGAAAAATGTTCACAGATATTCGTGTAATTGTCTTGTATTCCCAGCCTCAGAGTTCTTTACTGTATGTTTTAAATTTTCCTCACCTACAACTTGCAAAGTTGCTTCCATGTTTGTCTAAAGCTAAACTGAAAACGAGGCAGTTCGTGCAAATTATTATTCGCTTTCAGCGGTCGTTTTTTTTAAGTAATTACTTTGTATTAAGCTATCAGATAGCCGGATTTAACAAAGTTATATGATATTTTCAAATAATTGTAAATATCTTCAATATTCTTTACTCGTCTTCAAAATTATTTTACTTTTCATCAAAGGAAATAAAGATTTAATATTGATAAAGTTACCTTTTTCTTAAATTCTATATGTTCAAAGCTTATTAGGAATCCTGTCTACACTACACACTAAAGAGTTCTGATTTTATGGTATTTTTTGCTGTTAAAGTGGTCTGCCCATAGATATTATTTCTAAATAATAGAATTTCACAGTATAGAACACTGTACACAATTTGTAATCAATTCAAGTATAATTGACATTTTGAAAGGCCATGATAAATCAATTGAACAATTTTTTCACAAGAATCATAGAGTGAAAATAAATGTTAGAAGCTTTAAATTAACACCTTTATAGAACATAGTTTTCTCAACATCGTACCCCTTTCAATCATAAGAGAATGAAATTCTTCCAGTTTCTGCGAGACTGATCCTTGAAGAACATCAATGGTACTCGCATCCATAACAAAAGCTACACAATGTATTTTATCCTGAAAGGTAGGTTTTGTATTAAAGCCAGGGTCCTTTTCGGTAGCATGAGCCGCAGGATTAAACTAAAAATTAAAGCGTAAATAAGAATTATTTTTTTTTTTAGAATATTTTCCGTTTTAAATTTATAGGCAATGAATTTTTGAATAAAACATATGGAGATATCCATTCCCTAAAAATTTCCCAAGTAATAGAAAATATGCTCAAAATTTATTTTCGATAATTAAGTCAAGAAACCTACGTTGTTGATTTTGATTTTCGTGCATGCTTTACTAATCCATCATATTCATTAAGAAGTCTTTTTTTTTGCATGATGAAAATTTATATTGCAAATTATCAAGTGAGATTTCGAATTTGCTCAATAGATTTTTCTAAAGTAGATGGTAAAAAATGCAAGTCTATTTATCACCTGCATTTTTGTTTACCTTGTGTTGATCAGGGAGATGTCCGTCTAATAAGGATACCATATCCTGATGTTTGATGCACATATCTTCCTCAATTCCACGTGTATCACAGAGGCGGAAGTTTAAATAGCCACCAGTTTCCGGGTTTCTAATTCGATATTTTCGATACTACAGTGTAATTATAAACAAAAAATAAAAAAAAAAAAAAATCACTGAACATTTAACATATGTTTAATAGTACATTTCAATTCTCAATTTTCATATGAAAATTTATTATCAAATACTTTCCCTATTCTCTTGAAAATAATCAAGTAATCTAATCTTCCGAAATTTAAAAGATTTTTTAATTTATAATAATAATGAATTGTCAAAAATTTTGTTGACAGTTTCATTTGTACGAATAAAAGTTAGGAAAAAAGTTATAAATATTTTGAATGTTTTTTTTAATGTAAGTTTAAAAATCAGTTCCAAATCAGTTCCAAATCCTGAAAAGTTTATTGCATCAACCATGGAACAGATGGGCAAAACACTACTTACAACTGTAGTAAGACTATGTTTTGAGTTTCCTGCGCATGCCCGAGCAGTCACTTCCTCTCGGAATATTGAGTTTACAGTGTTGAAAAAACTGGATTTCCCAGCTCCAATCTGGCCTACTAATAAGATGTTCACTTCAGATAAACCCGAATCGTCTAAGGGTTTATAATTGGAAACTCTGTCCTTTAATTTTCGAAATGTCTACGGAAAAGCAAACATTGCATGAAAAAGAACATTAACAAATCCGCTAAATCAAACCTACACTAACTTGTTGAAAAATCAATTTCCGCCAAATATCGTACGCGCCAAATAAAATACATTTACAGTATCATTTCAAGTTGAAACTATGTCGGAAAAGTCTTTGTCACAAGATTCAAACTTTTCAAAAAATGCTAAATAATTACTTGCTCATCAATCAGTTAAGAGCACATGACATGTTTCCCTGCAATTACATGTAGTGCAGCCTTTGAAACTTGGGATGGTAGTTGCGTTACATTTGCAAATGAATATTTATCAGAAATTAAAAGTTTTATTTAAAAAAAATCATATTTGATAGAAAATTTGAAATCAATTACCAACCATTAATGATTTGAAAATAATACATACATAATTAAAGAAATAACTATGAAAAGAAGTGCACATTATTTCAAGATATAACTCAACACATAATACACAATCTTCAGCACACCTTTGCGTGAAGATTTTTTAGGGTTTTGCATTCCCTTAAAATAGTTGCAGACGCTTCTTACCACTGCGCCAAACAAAATGTATTAAAACAAAATATGATAACTTCATATATAGTAGACTTTATGATATCTCATATGGAATTTTGTGGTAGCATTGAGGACTTTGGCCAAAAGCCACAGTGAACATGTCTTTAGTTTATTGAAGAAATAAACTTGTGATCTCAACGAGTACCCGGTTACTCGATCGAACGTCCAAGTATCGAATACAAAAACTGGTAATCGATTACTTGGATATATATTTTTTTCTCTTTCCAAAGAACATAAATTCATCATTTTTTTAATTAATTTAAATGTGCAAACGATAATCAGATTGCTGCCGCCTACACTTGTAAAACATCCGTTATGGCCCATGGTTATATATATATATATATATATAGAGAGAGAGAGAGAGAGAGAGAGAGAGAGAGAGAGAGTAATTAGTGCCAAATTACCCTTTTTTCTCTCACCTTTTGCGGTCCTTAGTTGTTGGATGACTTCAATAAATTGTTTTCAATGAGGATCATTTAGTATGGTCTGATGCTACCTTTTTTAGTAAACGTTACCGAAATCATACATGCATAGGTACGCCGCTACCGACTTAGAAATGTAAAGAAATGGTAATACATGAAATTAAATATTTTGAAAAATGTTTAAAGTCAGCTATCCGGAGTAAATTTAGCTGAGGGGGGGGGGGTACAATAATTATACACGACAAGGGATCCCACGAATGTCCGTTCCCTCTGTTTCGTTAGTGTGATCATTACAAAGATGGGTAGCAGATTGATTAAAGGTCTTCCGAAACAAAACATGTATATTATTTATAACTATTAGTGTATCAAATTGATGTCTTTCGTGTATGCTTTTTTTAAAATAAATCAATTAAGTACAATAATTCATTTCCTTTGGACTCTGTTTTTAAACATGCACTAAAAGCATAATAAAAAGTTAAAAACAATATTGGTGTTTAAGACAACTAATCTGAGTTTAAGAAAAACTAACAAAGTTGTACTTGTTTATCTATGTACAATTTAACCTAGAACTCGGGTATTCAATCGGAAAACCGTCCGAGTAACCGATTATCAAATATTGACAGATTTGACACCCCTGAAATATACTGATAATAATATTGCAAAATTATAACCATTTAATTTATGCACATGTATTAGTTTTCAGAAGGCAAAGAATTACCTGTTCATCCCAGCAAGGAGACTCTCTCCATGTCTCATGGGAGGGCTTTGGATAAAGTAAATTTTCACCAACTGTAACATTTTAAAGAGAAATGATTTTTTTTCTTATTTCAAGCATGTTCACAGTAAATAACTGTTGTTTTAAATTCCCATTTGCTTTCTATATCTTAATGTCATTTTGATATTTGCAAAACAAATAAAAAAAACAAAAACAAAAACAAAAAAAAAAAAAAAAAAAAAAAAAAAACAGTAAGTGAAACTTTTTTACAGTCAGTAAATACTTAAAATAACAGAAACGAGGGTTGTCCCAAAAAATCCTAGACAGTGAAAAGAGTTTGGTTTCTCTTTGCTAAATTTAATTTCTTTTCTTGTCATAGCAACAAATAATATTTTATGACCATCCATATCAAATTTCATGACGATGCTACTTCTAATAAGAAAATTATGAAAAAAAGAAAGCATATATAGGCCTATATAAAAGAAAGCAGCTGGATGGTTCAAATGATAATTGAAGATACAATAACATATTTTCGTTTCTTTTTTGTATCTAAATTGATAAGGCTGCACAATATTTTGGGTAAACAACATTTCGCAAACAGTAGTGAAGCTATTTTTTACAGAATATTCTCGTAAAAATTATCAAAACTGTATTTTTCTGCCATTGGTGTTACCTTATAAAAGTTTATTGTATAGAACCAAGTGAAAAACTTATGAATGCAAGCTATGATAAACATTTACTAGGATTATTCAGGTTTACTGATAAGTCCGAAAGCATCGTTGTCCAGTGATGAAAATTAAGTTTTCAATCATATTTGGACATTGACATGAGAAAATAATCAATCATAAAATGATCTGGGCTCTCTTATTTACCCTGGATAAAGTTAAAGTTTTGTACACATTGCTATTAGTTCACCCAAAGAACACCTTTCGTAAAAGAGTTCAATTAATTTTCTAAAATCGCTTTGAAATAACGATGGAAACACCACTGACAAAAGAAGTTTGAACTTGTCTACATTCTTTACTTCTGAAGTTCATCAATATGTTCCTATCCTGAATATCAAGGAACAGTTTCTGTTGTTTTTGGTGAGAAGTGATGTAATATGACTTAGGACTGTTTATATTATCTTATCAGGAATGATAACTTTTTTGTAGCGAAAACAAAAATAGTAACACCATTGACACAACTTTCTTGTACGTTCATGTTTCCTGCTGTATCAGTTAAATAGAAGGTGGGGTTTTATTTTTTTTTATTTTAAAATATATTCTATTTAACATTTGTTTTATGCATATATGATTTTTTAGACAACATTTCTTATAAATTTTGTCGTATTTATCTTTATTTGAAGAGAAAAATTCCATTGACAGCATGAATTTGGCTGATTGGTGTGATAAAATCATCCATTGACTTTAATGAAATCAATTATGTGATATTTTCCATAAGTAAATAGAAAGTATAGATGTCATAGATTGTAAAGCAACAATCCAAAGTTGGGAGAAATAAGATTTTACACAGAAGTGACACGTTTAAGTGTTTTTTTTATACTGACCCATAAGTGCACATCGGAGCACAAAATCAAGCTTAATTACGCCAATTAAGCTTGATTAAGCTTTTATAACGTCATGATCTATTTTTCTGCTATACACGCGTCTGTTAATTTAACATCCAATAAATTAAATGTTTTTTAAGTGAAAACCAACTCTTGTCTGAGGGACTTATCTAGATTTACTACTGTCCTTTTTTTTTAAAGAAGATTAGAAGACATTTAACAAACAGTACTCTTCTTCTTACATACGGTGACTATGTTCGGTTTAATCGCATACCCTTTAAAAACAACTTCGCTATTAGAATTAATGAGTAATGTCATTTCTATAGTCTTTTTTTCTCGTATCTGATGTATATAAACCATATCCAAAACAATTTATAACATTTCTGTCCGCCGGTTACGGGTTGAGGACGTCAATTTCAGCAAATTCAATTCCAACAACACTTTGAAAATCAATAGACCAATCGTCTGTCTGATGCTATTTAAATAAAAATTGACATGTTATATAGATTTTTATTCTGATTATACTGTTTTAAATTTGAGTTCAATGTTTTACATAGTACCAAGGAAAGAAAGCAAAATTTAATGTAAAAGTTATATATGCCTAAATTATTCCGAATTTCGTTCGTGCACCGACAGACCATTTCGGCCTTCATATAAATCGTTCCAATGTTAATATGAAAGATATATTAACAAGAATTCATAAATTTAGAGAACATTGAATATATTATGTTTATGCAAAATTTGGCTAGTTTTGGTTGAATGTTAAAAAAGTCATAAGTATTGTGTGCGACTTATTGGGACAACCCTCGTGAGATTAATTAAATGATTTCTTTTATCTGGCGAGTAAGTTTGTTGGTGAACTATTTATTAAAAATATTGTCTAAAAAAAACGTGATTCCAAATAAATAGCAAACAACGAAAATTTACGCTTATTGAATTGATATTTCAAACCTTTAACTTTATACACCTCTAGGTCAAAGACACACATGTGATATGCGCACCACATAGGCTCATTATCTCCCCCATAGGCAAATCTGAAATCAGCTTTTCCATTTAGTACATAATCTGTGGTTCCTGTACATCTATCCACAGTTGGTTCTACAGTTCCATAAAATGTTAACAGATCTACAGTTGCATTATCAATTTGGTGGTTCTGAGGGGCCCCAGTTTTTCTAAAAGCCATTTTCTTATGCTTATGAACTAATTGTCTAGGTTCATCAACATCCAGAAGACTCCCTGCACCAAAGGTTGGCCCAAATTCCTTCGATGCAAATGCAGCATGTTCAGGTTTTATGACGGGATACTTCATTGGCTCTGAAACACCCCTGTCGCGTAAAGTGAAAATGAAGGCTTTTTTATCCTCTATGCTTGTTGATGGCCTTCCTACTTTCCAGTCTTCTGAAAGGAATCCTCCGTACACGCTATTATCAGTATTGTAAAGGACCGTAACTGTAGGACCTTTGTAGTCACAGGACTGGTGAAACCTTGTCGCCGAACAACCATCACGACTTATTTTATATAACAATTCAAAACTGCTGTTTTTGCCAATAAATGTTGATAACTGTGTCCTGTCCTCTAATGTCAATAACTCCTCGGACCTAAACAAACATTTTAAAAACGTGCACTTATTTTCAGTAAAAATCGCAGTGAATTATCATTTGATCATACAAAACTAAATCTGTCAAACAGTTATTCTTCATCAATTTTTTCAAACATCCATTTATCAATTTTACGATTTTAATTCCATTTCCGACTTCCTTTCAGTATTCGTTTTCAGTTTAGGAAACGTATTTTATGACTGACGACGTCTATACCAATTGTTAGATAATTATTTTATTGAATTGGTTATAGAATTTTCCGTTTGCCTGATCATGACAATGAGCTCACGACTAATATAACCAGTCGACAGAGGAAGCCTACTCCTTCATGGTACCTGATCTCAACTCCGTTGTTTTAGAGATCCACATTTACATTGCTCCTGATTGGTATTGTTTCCATGTAATTTTGAGTTTTAATACTATTCGCAATCTTTTTATTTCACAAATTCTTAAAATTTAAAAGGTGAAACCACTGAACGGTGATTAATCCTAAAATCATATAAACAATGCAAATTTGTCAAGAGAATAAAAACTCTAACCCATAAAATTTCAAATATTGATTCAGGTGAATTTTATACAAAAAGAAGGATGCTTTATTTCGAAATCAAATGTAACATTTTTAAATATACTCAACAAATAAAAAAAAAGAAACGCATATTCAGATTAAACTTGATAATCTAAGTTTCAGTTAAAATTGTATTTTTTAAGTGATTAAGAGTGTGTTGTGATAAAAATCAAACAGGTCCTATGTTGTGAATTGAAAAGTTGATGTCATTTTCGTCGATCGCCCCAATTTCTAGGGGCATATTTTCTTAACTAATTCATATGTACGAAAGCCCAGAAGGTTCATTCGAGATTCAAGTTTCGAAATACGAGATTCGAAATTCGAGATTCGAAAATTGAGTTTCGAAATTCACGATCCGAACTAACCAATCAAAAGCGGGTTCAACATTTGATTACTCCCGTTTGTTACATGTATGTATTTACTACATGTATCAAGAAATCGTTGAATATATTTATAACATATAGGTCATTTGCTAAAATGATAATGCAATGAAAAATGTTTTATGTATTAAAACGAAATAGAAATAAAAGTTGGATTACATTTTAAAAAATGCATATATAATCTTATTTTTCTCATTAAACAAAATAGCAAATACGTGTATATGGAATACATGTATTATATAGTCTTATCCTTTACAAGCGGTACAAGTAGGTCGACTATTTTTTTTAATCAGATCATTGCTGAAGGAGAATATTGTATTTGATCATAAATAGATATGAAATACTGGTATTAAGAATCGTCTCTACACTGCACAGTAATTCAAGGGTATATTTTTCATTACATCTATAAAGGGTACTTTTGTGCAGTGAGACTTAACTGCTGAATCGAACTGTAGCGTTACAAGGTTTCACGAGTACAGACCCTGAGACGTGCTACTACCCCACACGCTCGCTGCACGAACGGTACACGAACGCTACACGGTGTGCACGAAACGCTGCACGGTTTACACGAAACGCTACACGGTTTGCACGAAACGCTACACGGTTTACACGAAACGCTTTGCACGAAAGGCTGCACGGTTTACACGAAAGGCTGCACGAAACGCTTTGTACACGTTTCTCACACGCTTTGTGCACGATTCTCGCACGTTTTGGCCTCGGTTTGGATTTTTCTACTGGGAATATCTCGGGTATTATTACCGTTTTTTCATTAATTCAATGGAAATCTTTCACAAAGCCACATTAAGCAGCTGTTTAAATTGAATATCAGTACACTTGTATTAGATAAACCGATAGAAATATTTAATACTCTGACAGTTGTAATTAATTAATAAATAATTGTCAGTTCGAATTTATTTATTTATTTATCCAACTGTTTAAAAACGAAATGCCGATATCATGAATGACTGTTTAATAAAATACAATTTCTATATACAGGTATTAGTCATTCATTTCAATGTTATATTTTTACGAGTTTAATTTGATAAATTAAACTCAATTCGATTTCTCACTGCAGGAATATAAACTCATTGATTTTTAATAATTTTGATTATATTGTGTTTGATTTCCGTAGGCGGATTATTTGTCGTGATTTTGATTTGAAATTATAGTAACAAAATTTGCCTATATACTCTACTAACGATTGTTGATACATTCTTAAAGATTTTGTTTTATTTTACGCAAACATTATCAATAGGAGGAAAACCGGTAAGGAAGGGGGGGCGGTTAATGTGACCTATTAATCTATTCTATTCTCTTTCTCTTTATCAAATAACATAAGTATACCCATCATACTGTAAAATCCTTCATTTCAAATCAGGACTAAACGTATGTATATATGTGTACATTTATTAATAGTTGCGGCATTTGACTATACATGTACATTGTACATACAATATAAATCGATCTTTACACCGGCAGTCAGGTACACTATATTACAAGAAAACTGAAATATCTTAGATGAAATAAAAAGTACGTGATTTATAAAACAAATAATATACAATTATTCATGATTTACTCCTAAGCTTTTTTTTTTACATGATATTCATGAAAATGCCACCGAATCAGTTCTGTTGATTGTACTGTTTACGGCTAGAAATTCGGATTTACAAATAAAAGATGAAATCCGCTGATTTATAAGTTGAACCCATTAAATATTTATAGAACCATTTTATATATATAAAAAAATAAAATCCAGTCGTAATTTTCAGGTGTCATTAAGCCGTGAACTCAACATATACATATAGCAAAACAGGTTTTCAGTTGCCATGCACTCGGAGCCCGTGATCGCTGTTGTACATGTAAATGACCTTGATCACAGTTGAAAGGCGGAAAGAAGATTCCAATATATTTTTAAGGGGTGTATCTGCGCACACATTTAACAAAGGATTTAAAAAAGAATTGAAAATTAAGCATTTATTTAAACTAACATTAGATTGAAAGTTACAACAAAAAATGAAAGACTGCACTCGTAATTTAATTTAACCCCCCCCCACCCCCCGTTTATAAAGATGTTGTCTTCAGTGCATGTGAGTTAGAATTATAAAATCCATTTATTATACAATAATGAGCAACAAGTTTTATGTATTAAAAAGTATAAAATGACACATCTTTTTAAATGTGAAGACAAGAGCGGAGTTCTTATAATTTTTGGTTTAAAATAAAAAAAATAATACCGGTATTTCTTTCTCTCTTTGAGAAAAGAAATTTAAGAAGCCATGATCGCGTTGATAGTATACTGAATTCAATGCCCTTAAAATCGTTATACATAGTTGATTAATTTGAACACATTTTCTTTAGAAGGAAAAGAAATCAAACAAATATTAATCATACATTACCGTTTAATTTCATTTTGTTGTTCCATTTTTGTTTTTTTTTTGTTTTAACTCCTATAATATCACAAGCATAACAAATTCAATAATAAAATACTAATGGAATTTTACATCCTGACCCATCTATAACCATATTTAAAATGAAATGACTTCCGAATGAATCTTACACGATTCTTGCACGAAAGTCGCACGTTTCTCACACGAAAGTCGCACGTTTCTCACACGAAAGTCGCACGCTCGCTACACGGTTTGCACGAAACGCTTTGGAGCTTACACGAAACGCTGCACGGTTTACACGAAACGCTACACGGTTTGCACGAAACGCTGCACGGTTTACACGAAACGCTACACGGTTTGCACGAAACGGAAAGCGCACGAAAGTCACACGCTTTTTTGGGGTAGTAGCACGTCTCAGGGTCTGTATATTTTAGTCTTTGGTCATAATGGTATTGTCAGAAACCAAAATTTAACACCATAACGCTATAGTTCTGCATCTAATTTAGACTCATCTACTATTGATGTAAGATTGATATGAGATAAAATATGTGCCGCATTCATTTTGATTCATATTGCCAATATGTATTGTTGATATAAAACGGGCGCGATTTTGTTTTTCAATAATACGTCGCCTTTCAAGTTTTACAAAGTGATATTTTCAGTGTGTTTGGAAAATAGGCAGTTTGGGTAAGTATGGTGGGGTTATTGTTAGTCTTTAGACACTTGACACTTATTTATATTTTTGTTTATTTGTCATCAACCCCGGAACAAAGTACACGATACAAAAATATATGTACTCCTGATATATGTATTCTATTTAATATTTAAGACGCCATAATATAAATTGAAGTATACCTTCTGATCAAAAATTCAATGTTTATTTCATTTCCTTCTATTACATATAACACTCTTTCTTGCATTGAATTTAATTAAATGACTCATTTGATATTGATATATTAAACGATTTCTTGATAGTAAAATCACAATTAAGGGAAGTAATCAAATGTTGAATCCGCTTTTGATTGGTTAATCTGGATTTTTATTCTCGAAACTAGAATTTCAAATCTCGAATTTCGAATCTCGTATTTCGAATCTCGAATTTCGTATTTCGAACCTGGAATCTCGAATGAGCCTCGTTCTTTGCGACATCTCAGCGCTAGTGGATTTCCAGTTTACGGATGTCGTAGACGAAAACCAGCTCTTCTCAGTCTCTTGGGAACACAATTTGCATTCGTCTTTGCGTTCATCTTTGTTAAGGCGTTGCATTGCAGCATTACCATTGTAATCAAATCTTTACAGCAAATTACGAAATAGCGGTAAAGTTTTCAATAACTTGCTAGATAGCTCAATAGGGTATTTAATTTGGTCTAACAAGTATCACATTAGGTTTGAATCTAGGTCTTGAGGTTACTCAGGTGTATCATTAGATTTTACTGGTAAATGTGAGTTGATTTCAATGTTGTATGAAGTTACATGTATGTGCCAAAGTGTTCTGCTTTAAATAAATGCAAAGTTTTTCTTTACATGCAAATATTATATGCAGAATTAGTAAATAACAGCCCCCTTTTCCATTCTTCCAAAAGGTATTTTTCAATGAAGTCAGGAAGTTAGCTTCCCACTCCAATTTTTCCAATTTTATGGATTATAAATAAACAGTCAAATAAATAGAATAATATTATAGTTAATAATATAAATAACAAAATAGAATAATTTTATAATTAATAATATAAATAACACATAAAACATGTTATGATGAACATTTCTACACCCATCAAATTTCGCTATTCATTTCTGTTATCCTCTGAAAAATCTAATATTTGAATTGAATAAGAGTTTGTTTTACAAAAGAACTTAAGACTAAGACTGAGTACTTTGCTATTTATTTTATTCCTTACATTGATTTACTTCTTATTTCATTCTTTTACATTAAAAAAAAATAGTAACCTTGAGGTAATTTTATAAAAGCAAAATCTCACTTTTTGTGAATTTAATTCAGGGATGAAAGTTAAGAAGTTAAGTCTAGTTTACTTTAAAGCATGGGTGCTGGTACTATTGTTTAGTGTTTACTAACAATTTTGTCCAAAAGAGAAATTTACCCTATAATATGAAATTAGTTGTACATCATGAAAGTAAATTACAATGTTTATATTGGAAGTAACTATGCTTTGAAGCAATTAGAAAGGATAATATGCAGATGATTTATGCATTACTAAAGTGCTAAAATACAAATTCACTGAAAAATATTTGCAAATAAAAGAAAAATATTGCATGTTTTTATAGCATAACACTTTGGCACAAACATTTGACTTCATACAACATTGAAATCAACGCACATTTACCTGTAAAAAATCTAATGATACACCTGAGAAACCTCATGACCTATATTCAAACATAATGTGATACTCGTTAGACCAAATTAAATACCCTATTGAGCTATCTAGCAAGCTATTGAAAATTTTACCGGTATTTCGTAATTTGCTGTAATATAGGTTTAAAAGGAGGGTTTATTGTTTCTCTTAATCTAAATTATCAATGAAAATAGACCTGCGATTTACAGGGAATCATGCAGACACTATTTTCATAAAAATGATAAAGCAAGGGAAATAATTCAACACTTAGTTTTTGAAACCCCACGTTGTCCTTTAAATAGGTCACAAGTATCCGATACAGGAGTTGTTCCAAATACTTTTCAAAATTTCTTTGATTAATAAAACAATATCATGCGTTGCAGAGTTTATTTATATTTTTTTTTTAGTTTCAAGAGTTTGTATTTGCGATAGACTTTAAAATATTTACATATCACTAGGAAAAGTTATATTTTGTCTTTTAGTTTCAATGTAATCAAGAGACAGCACATAATTGAAATTGTAACGAAAACATTAATATTATGAAATTTTAGACGAAATAAATTTGATTTTGGACATTATTTGAGACTCCATGATTTAAGGTCATTATCTGCTCGCTTTCATCCGACCGACGAAATGGCCCGACACTAAGCGTTTTTTAGTGTTGCCTCTAATATTTATTTCGGAAAGAAGAGGATAAAGAAATGTATTTTTTACGACGTCCTGGAGAAGACAAATTTATGTTCAAAATCTAAAAAAATCACTTACCTTTCCATCATTAAATGAAAGTACCATCACCATTTAAATTGCTTAAGTTACAGGTGTCAAGATTGCACACTACGTAGAGCATATTTATCCTTACTAAATTCCTAAATGGTTATGGATCAATAATTTTTGGGTTTCCGTGGAGTTATTGTGCCAAAAAGCTGAAATAAGAATACGTCTATTGTTCAAATGGTTATGTGAATCTTTCGCCGTGAAATTAGATAGGTCACTGTGTTGAAAAAAAATTAAATAAAGTTCGCCGTACCATATGTATTACATGTACATTGTAGATACCGAATTTACTCATAAATATTAAACAGGATATATGTAAGTGATATATTTTCTTCTACATAAACGCTTCTATGGAATGAAGGTTTTTTTTTAATCCACACAGACCATCGAGTATTTACGCATAGGCTCGGGTGGAAAGCTTTAAGTTGTATAATCATATATCAAAAATTTAAAAACAATGCATTTTTATTGTGGTAAAGAATACAGTACATGTACCACAAGACTCAATTAACTTATGCCATAAATTTTGAAGTAACATAATACAGATTTCATTAGAATTCACTACACGAGTTAAAAGATTGATGCTGTTTCATGTTGCTTGATCTCATCATTGTTACATCTGGTATTTTTGTTATCACTAGCGCCACGAGGCGGGACGAAGTTTACCGAGCTCAATTAAGCAGCGTTTACGAAGTGAGGGAGTTCGGATTGAAATCTGCACATTATTCGAAGAATTTTTCCATCAAATTGCACACTCCCAATTATCCTCTGTAGTGCATAGCAACATCGTACAAATGAATAATCCGCAGTAATAACACCTTTGAGGAGTTTACTGAAGAGTTTATTATGCAGAATGCAATTCTGATAAGGTGTGTAGTGTTGTACCCTAAAACGGTTTCATCATAAAAATACATGTTAATAAATGTATGTGAAAAAAATGTTTCTCGCATTTTTTTTGTGTGTATACCTTCGGTTAAAAATGTTAATGAAGTCATAGACTGGAATTATCAAACAAGATAGGATTTTTTGAAACACATTTCAATTATGAAACTTAACATGAACCTTAAAATAAACATGATTCAAATAATTAATGTCTTGATTTTTTAAAGTTCTTGATGATATAGAAACATGTAACGAGATTAAACATTTCTTTTAGAATAGACATGTAATTTTAGCTAGTAAAGAAAATCAAAAATGAAAACAGTTTAATATTTTCTTAATATTATTTATTCATTTCTTTAAATGATGGTCTCTCATAATTAATCTTAACAACATTGTTGACTGGATTTTAGTTACTTGTTCTCCTGATTTTCATGTCGGCATACTTCAAGGAATAATGATATCCTTTCCATTTATACCAGTTTATACCGTCAGCATAGGATTTATGCTCTCATTTCAGGTACAGACCATTCAGGTTAGCTTCGTGACAAGCTCGGTACCTCCACCCCCCTTACAATTGATTTGCACAAGATCTCTCATTATCACGATCCTTGGTGACGAATGTGCCATTGTTGTGAATAGACATTGAGTTGACTAAAGAAATATACATTTTTGACATTAGAACATTACATACATGTATAATCAGTTTGTGGTTAACAAAAAATGATGACGTAATCAGATATTGCCTAACAAAAACGAGTTACCAGCATCCCCACTGTAACCTAAGACTTTTAAGATGTACCCTGATTCTTCATTTCCGACATTGAAGGTGTTGTAGCTAGCATGACGGGAATTTCCAGAAAAATCCTTCACGTCGATTCTTAAGGTGTAATTCTCAGATTTTGTAAGTGTATCTATTTTGTCATTCCCTGTGAAGAAAAAATATGACAAATAGAATCATTCAGTTTTCATTCAAATGTCTTTTGAATGGTGATGATACAAAGAAACTCCAGGGGATTCGAGTACTTGGCCTTAGCATGTGTTTATGTGTCCTAAGTGAAGAATCTTTCGTATTTTTATATATATTATAAAATTAGAAAGAAATCCTAGGGATTCTTGTTCTTGTTTCATAAATTTAAAAGCTAATTAAAAAATATAAACAAGATACATATCTACAATGACAATAGATTAATTTTGATATCCTTATATACACATATTCATGTATGTTTTGTTTCTAAAAGTTCTCATATGTTTGATATATATGTACTTTCACAGTTTGCATATCGTTAAAATATTTTATGTTTTTCATATAAACCCTTTCTTTTACAACTGTTCAGAAACTTTTTTGGTATTGTGGTAATCAGAAATATAAATATTCTAATATAACTGATAATAGAAAATTAACTTTGCCTCGACAACATTTATGAAAAAATATCCAGCATGCCTAGTCAAAACTCATTTGACAGATTACCAAATCCGGTCTTGTACTCATACCAGGTTCTGAAAAAATCTTCAGATCCATCCTGCCGCCTTTGTAAAACCTTCAAGTAGAATATTTAATTTAAAACAAGAGGCCAATGGGCACAGGACTAGTTAAAAAATCACAAATCAGCTCAGTATTGAAAATTTACTTCTTGGGAAGGGGGCCATACTTGAAAAGAAGATTTTTAAAGATTTTTCCAACAATTATTTGATCTCCCATTGTATTGTGACCCCGCACTAACCTCTAATTCCGAGGAGTCATAATTTGAACAAACCGGCATCTAAAACACCAGAGGATGCTTCCATTAAAAATACTAATCATGAATTTGGTGTTTTACAGAAAATTAGATATTTAAGAATATTTTCTTATGTAAAAATTGATCCCACATTGTGTCCCCTCCCTTCTCCCAAGAATCTTCAATTGAACAATCTTAAAACTACACTATCTGAGGATGCTTCCATATAAATATCACCAACCATGTCATGGCTTTTCTGTTCTTGAAAGATTTTTTTAGATTGTTCATATATATTTATATGTTAAGCTCTAGCTTTAATTGCCAATTATGGCCCCACCCTACCCAAGTGGTCATGATGTAATCAACCTTGAATTAACTCTGACTGAGAATGATTCCATATTAATAATACCAACCATGGCTTTGCTGATCTTGAGAAAATTTTTAAAGTACCTCCTTTGTATTCTTACATACAACTTTGATCAGCCATTGTGGCCTCGCCCTACCCTCAGGGGACATGATTTGAAAAAAAAGAACTTGAATCTACACTACCTGAGGATGCATCAACATGAGTGTCATCTCTCCTGACCCTATGGTTCTGGAAAAGAATCTTAATAATTTGTCCTATATAAAACTTTGATCAGCCAATGTGGCCCCGACCTACCCCCAGGGGTCATGATTTGAACAAACTTGAATCTTTGCAACCTGAGGATGCTCCCACATAAGTTTCAATTTTCCCAGCCAATGGTTCTGGAGAAGATTTTTAAAAGATTTTTCTACATATTCTTATGTAAAATTTTGTTTAGCCATTGTGGCCCCGCCACTCTCCCCGGGGTTCATGATTCGAACAAACATAAATCTACACTACCCGAGGATACATCCTCATGAGTTTCATATTTCCTGGCCCAAAATTTCTCGAAAGAAGATTTTTTAAATATGCCATTATTATTTAATTTATTCATAATTATCGCCCCGTGGGGATCCGGGTTAGAACAGGTCCTCAGTACCCCCTTGCTTTTCATGAAAGGCGACTAAATGGGACGGTCCTTCGGATGAGACCGTATAAACCGAGGCCCCGTGTCACAGCAGGTGTGGCACGATAAAGATCCCTCCCTGCTCAAAGGCCGTACGTGCCAAGCAAAGGCCTAAATTTGCAGCCCTTCACCGGCAATGGTGACGTCTCCATATCAGTGAAATATTCTGGAGAGGGACGTTAAACAGCATACAATCAATCATCAATCATTATTCATAATTATCTCCCTCCGAAAGAGGGCTTGGTCCTTCATCTGATCAAACTTGATTTTCCTTCACCCAAAGATACTTTGTGGCAAGTTAAAATTGACCCAGTGGTACATGAAAAGCACATGAAAATGTTAGAAGTATACACCGAAAACAACAACGACGACAGACAACGGACAAATTTTGATCAGAAAAGCTCACTTGAGCCTTCGGCTCAGGTGAGCTAAAAATAAAACACGTCTGGATTCTCTGATTCATTGATTTGATAATAGACACTGATACTGTTTACTGTTGAAATTAGCTTATCAACTTTATCATATACCGGAAGGAGAAATGAAGTCGTTTATGAGTGTTGTATAACAGTTGTCATTTTTAACTTTATTGGTACTTTTTTTTCTCAAGGGCTTTAACGAGATAAAATACGAACATACTTTCATAAATGAATAATTGTGGCCGCGATCATATTGGCGTAAATTACGTCTCACTGTCGAGAAGAAAAGTATGCAAGCGGGTTTTAACCTGGTATACTATAACTTTTCTATGTTATGGAAAATGAGATCACTTTTACATGATGCAGAGGGCTGACATGAAATTCATTTTTTTATTTAGTACAATAGCGATTCTATATGATTATAAGTAGTAGGGAAAAAGACATGTGCACGTTGATAATTTCAATTTGATGTTTATTACCGTCCATCCCCCACCGTCTTTTTCTTGATCACAGAAAACCTGGAAGCTAGACTCGTTCGTTGGAAAAATTGTGTACACCTACTCTCCCTGTGACCTTGTAACAAGAGGTCCTGACAGTCTCTTGGATAAAATACACCACACGTGTCTATAAAAAATATAGCATGAATACACTGTGATACATTTTGAAATTTAAATGTTTGTTTCAATATGAAGGATTGAATTAAATTAAAAAAAACATTACAAAATATTTCATTAGTGAAGTTTGCGATATTTCCTATTTAATGGATGCAATTTAAATAAAATAAAACCAACTATGAAATAAATTACTCCGATGTGGTTGAAAATTAGTTAAACGAATACGTAGGACATATAAAATAAATCATATATAATTATGTTCTTAAAATTAAACTCATTGAAGGACTGTTGGAACAAAAAATAAGACATGATAAAAATTTGACAATAAATATGCTACTTGTACAACAATGTCAATTTTATAGGTACAATGTAACCTTTTTAAGGATAATCGGTCAAGATAGTGTTTAACATATATAACTATTGCTGAAAAATACGTTCATGATTTAGTTAACATAAAATAGAATTGTTCACACTTAAATTCAATGTCGTTCACGTAAGAAATAACTTTTAATGATAAATGGCAATATGAAATTAGAAGGAGGTGTTTACAAAAAATTCTATTTTTCATTTAAAAAAATTTTGCTTTGTGACCATGGTCAATTAATATTTCAAACACAATGATATATTTGGTTCATTGATGTTTTGTAGATTTGATCATACGTTTTACATCATCTATATAACTTTTTAAAATTCAAACTCCGAATAAAGAAAACATTTCACTTAACTGACAATTTATGGAAAGTCTGAGGATCTAGGACTTGCATAAAAATATTAAGAATACTTGTATTTAAAAATATATTATTAATATGTTTTATTATATATGTGAATTAATTTTGCAAACACCTTGTTGAATTGCTTTGTACTAATAATAAAATAGTAATTTCACTTTAATTAGTGTTTTTTTTTTTTACTTAAAGGACTCATAAATGATACATATACGTGATTGGACATGCACGATATGCAATCAAAAGTCACACGAAAACAAAATTCATTTAACCTTTTCTACAGCTCTGTACTAAACCACGCAATGACACCAATTCTTGTTCCCATTCTCTCATATCTTCTTTTAAAGCCCATTCTATGTAATTTGGCATTTCCGGTTTCCCTCCAATTGTTAAATTTTCATTGCAAGTACCCTGTAGTTGTTTAACGAATTGTGAGGCAAGTAAAAGGGAATTCTTCACAGTCACACATGGGTCCGTTGGTTGAGGTATATTTGCTGTTGTCACACTAGTTAACACTATGCTTAAACACGTTCCTTATATTTACATCTTACATATTTGGAAGCAACTAAATTATACTCAATATAAGAATTTCTCGCTGTCTTATATCGTTGCATTTTTACTAACATCGCTGCAACCTCATTGTGATGTCAGATTAACGCGAATGTAAATATAACTTTATGATAGACAAATAATTTGTCAAATTTAAGAATTTCTTCTACATGTGATCTTGACTTTATTGTATTTTAAGGCAAGTTAGGACAAAGCGAATTCAAATAAAACAATATCATTTCTTACACAGAAAAGTGTCTTAGCAAAATGAAAACTCGGCAAAATTGTTTTCAAAAGTGAAAGGTCAAAATAAGAACAAAAAGACCAAAATAACACGATACATTTTTTAGAGTTTTTATTGATTGTTTAGATTTTAACGTTAAATCCGGTTCAAAATATTAAAAAAACAAAAATAATGTAATAAAATAAAATAATAATTAAAATCTTCAAAATAATATCTTCTGTACATAGGACAAAAAATTTACAGTTTTATTTTATTTATTTTTCTATCTTTCATTTTTTTATTGGCGATTATTAAAAAATTGTTTGATTTATTAATCTTTGTGTTCAGTAAATGTTTTAATGCTTGGGCTGACTGGGATATTTTAATATCTTGACAATAAAAAGAATAAAAAAAAGAAATGTAGTGTACATTTTGACAAAGAATGTACACTTTAAAAATTTTTAAATTTTTTTAGCTGAATACTTCTAATGTATTTTGAATGTTGCCAAAAATCAATAAAGAAATTAATTGAAAATTTTATGATATAATCTAAAGAATGAAATCAAAAACAGAATATTGGATTTCCCACTTACCTTTGATACGTTAGTTTGTTATCTGTAGCACGTAAGATGTATAAGCATGAAGTTCAATTATACTACTTGCTTTATTCCTTCATTTTCTTATATCTATGTTTTTTTAAATACAAATATGCATCATATTTGTTGCACATGTGGTGAAAAATCGTGACTTATTTCTCAAATTAGCCCATGTTTAACTTCAAAAGTCATGTTTGATTCTTTGCTTAAACTGCTGGCTTCTAGTTGATCATAGCAACATTTTTTCCTCTGAGCTATGACATTGACTGATATCGCCACGCCTATTAACATTGTGACATTCTGCCATAAATTACGTCTTAAATAACAAACAGTATTCAAGCTCAAAAGTCCAAATAACAATACGAAGCTTGGAGCAGAGCAAACACAGACCTCTTAAGCTTCAGAGTGAGATCGGGTGCCATTGCGGAGTGAGCATCACCAGCCGACAGTGGCATCAGTTGTGTGATCCTTGTCATAATCGGAAATAAGAGGAAATCCTTCGACAATTTAGACTGTAAATTCTGTAAAATCACATATTCTCGTTGGTTCAGATTTTCTAAGTTTGAGGGAAAATATTGACCTGTGCATATTTGATTTCGCTGTAGTATAATATCTAGAAATAATATATGAAAAGTTTACATTTATTGGTTGTTATGAATTCGGCAGTCGCTCCACACCTCGAAATCAAAGAAAATTATGAGCATTATGAAAGTCTCTGATTTCACTCTAATGGCCTTACGATCAACTAAGACCTAAGCATAGATTTTCGAGCGTAACTTGCAGGTGCTCAAACCATTGAACTTTTAAGATATGGTGAATAAACTAATATTCACATTGACATTCAGATCACACGGTGACTTACATGTACCTTTGCTTCTATAATTACCTAACGGCCTTGCACCTTAATATTTTTCATAAAGGAAACATTAACATTTTTTATTCTATATCTTTATATAAATTATGAAAATTTCTAATCAAAATGTCCTTATATTTATTCAAAGTACGACTTGACGGAGCTGCAAGATTCGAATGCTTTGGAGAGGAGAACTCCAAAAACAAATCAGTAAAAATAAATAAAGAAGCATTTTTTGCAGCTTTAATGAAAATATATTGACAATTCAATGAAGAAACAATAAAACTACATTGTAGTTTGTTATTTTTTACAAATCAAAGTTAGACAATTTTTTAAATATTTCTAAATTAATATTAAAATCGTACTAATGATGACGACGTTAATAACACAATACTTTATTATTAATAGAATTTTCATAAGTATCCTATAGCATTTTGACCGAATCAAGAGCATCCACGTTAGGAAAAGTGAAATGCTAAAAAACCATGCAAACATTTCATTTATTGGTACTTCTTAAGTACGTCGTATTTTAAAACGATCGACTCGTATTTTATAACAATTTCTGAAAACCAATCACTATAAAGTTTAAATTGCAGCACTTTGGAAGAATAGCCTTCAAAAACAGACATCGGTAATCTCAACAAATATTTTAGCAACAGGCAACGCCCATAATAAACTGAAAAAAAGATGTGAAGTATTTATCTTTAAATACAATGTTCATGCAAGGTTGGTAAAAGGTAGGTTTAAAAGTACTTTGTTTTGTTTTAAAAGTACTTTGGAAATTAGCCAACAAGTCTATTCTGGCAACTTGAATTGAGGATATAGTAAAAACACGGCATTTTAAAGCAACTCTCTTCATATGCATCAGATTAATAAATGTGTCTTTATTGCAAAATCAAACTCTATATATGAATCTTAACTTTACATCCGAATCATAAAACATTCTTAGATGATGTCCAAATATTTTTTTTATTTTAATGTTGGGGAGGAGTCTAGCATCTCTATTGCAAACTATTTTTCAACATTGATTTCCGAAACTGTTGTTTTAAAAGAGTTTAATGCAATTATTGATAAACATTTTACAGGCGATGGAAATTTTCACCTATGTCTAATTCCTTTTACTGGTACTCGGTCATTAATCAGGATAATGTAGTCACATTCAGCATTCTAAGCACGTCAGGTATTACCTATATTGTTACTTCAGAATAAGACCTGCTCTATTAACAATAAATTGGTCACTATTGATTCAGGATCCAAAGCAGTGTAGATCCTTAGATGAATTATTCTTTTAGCCACTACGTACATGTTTGTTGTAAGATACAAAACGGTAATTCTGACTCAATCCGTTGGTTCCTTAATCTTAAATTTGGAAGTAGGGTTATAGATGTTGAGAACATTTCCGGTAGTTAAATCGTAAATCATAACAATCTGAAGTATCACCTTACTGCGAGCTGAAATAAATACAACTTGTATTTTTGTTCACTATTTTGCTATAAACTTCTTTTTCTATCATAAGCGAATTTTACAATGCATGGCTTTTTGGAATCTTACCGTATATCCGTTTTCTTTCCGCGTGTTGGAAATTTTGCGAAAAAGGGGTAATTTAGTACAGTTTATATTTTGCTTAAGTTATTTTTTTACGATTGAAGATTTTTTTTTTGTTTTAAATGGTAATGTTATAATTATGTCACAGTATAGTTGGTATAATTTCTGTGTGATTTACATTTTGCGAATTAACAATGGTCGCAAAAAATGCAAAAAAAATGATCTCTGCGAAAAAACCTGATAAACGGTATTACAATCTTGTCCGAAGTTGCTCTTTTTTTTCCTTTTTCAACAATAGACCCACTGACTCGTTATTGCTTGTGATTTAGTTCAGTGGCAAATGAGGTGCTTAAATGATCAGCTTTACTGGACCTAATTGCAGAGATCCCCGATCATTTAAATGTCGACTGAATTTTATTTCTGTTATAAATTCTGTAGAAGAATTAGAAATATTTAAATGTACGAGAAGAGTTACGACGGTAACTAATTAGTCAAAATTTATTCCCTCAATTTTCAATGTAGGCAATATGTGCACCTTTTAAAATAAGGGGAGGGGTAAGCCGCCTCTTTGTTCTAAGGCCTTTGTTTATCAAAATATGAAGAATATTTTTAAAATGTGATACAGGAATCCTACAGCTTGAGAAGCTGAAGTTGCTCTTCAGTTTGTGAGAGTTCGAACTGATCCTCGAGATAGTCGTCTGCATAAACAAGCGTCTGTCTGACAGCTGATAGCGCCAAAATATCAACTGAAATTTGCCGCTGGGTTTCTTTTTCATAATTCTTGACGGGGAATACATGAGAGCGTGGAAGTCCTATGACCTCAGCTGCTTTGTCAACAGCTTGTTTGCACGCCTCACTGCTGAATATTCTGCGAATGTCTTCATCCACAAATGGACAGATTTTATCCAACTTTGTCAAGTAGACTATTTGTGGAATTCCTAAAATAAGACACCCTCAATTAACAGTGAATCCAATATGTTACTGATTATCAATTTTTTGTTCGAGCAAGGTATCTAACATAATTACAAGAACTCAAATAGCTTATTTCTACAATTCAATTCAAAAATCGTTTACACCTTGACATTTACTATAAATAAAAAGCAAAATAATGAAGAGAATTTATTCCTGTGGTAAATACTAAATAGTGTTTTTTAAAGATTAGAATAAAAAAAGAGGTTCGTTGGTTTATTAGTTTTCATAACTTATATGACACTCTGTGTCATAACTGCACGTGCATATATCTATGGAACATCTAAAAACCGCACTTAAAAAGAATTCATATATAATATATCAATATTTTATACTCTTGGATAAAAGAAAGTTACTTCTCTTCAAATGAAATGAAGAATGTCATGTTACCAAGAAATCTACACTCCTAATTTTCAAAGCTGAGTTCTAAACTTGTTTAGCATCATTTAAATTAATTTGATAAAATTAATGTAATACCTCTTTCAATCATAAGAGAATGAAATTCTGCCAGTTTCTGCGAGACTGATTCTTGAATTACATCAATTGAACTTGAATCCAATACAAAAGCTACACAATGTATTTTATCTTTAAATGTAGGTTTGGCCTTAAAACCAGGATCCTTTTCTGTAGCATGTGCCGCAGGATTGAACTAAGAATTAAAGAGTATAAAAATACATTGTACTTTATAATCAAGCAAATTAACTTAATAATTAATATACTGATTAGCGACTTGAAACGAAAAAAAAATTAATCGATAGCTTCAGATTCGTTCCCAGTATCAGAAAGTATGCTCAACATGTGTTCAGTATTACATGAATGAAACCTGCGTTGTGGATTTGATTTCGCTTAAGGATTATTTCGTATAAATGTGGAAGTCAAAACTAATTTTTGTACTTTAAGATACTAGTATATCGATTTTTGTTAATTGTGTGTTTTTCTAAAGTGTCGTCTTAGTTGATCAGTTTTACATTGTATGAAATACTAATACAGATAATACATGTATTAGCTACATTTAATACCTTGTGCTGATCAGGGAGTTGTCCGTCTAATAAGGATACCATATCCTGATGTTTGATGCACATATCGTCCTCAATTCCACGTGTATCACAGAGGCGGAAGTTTAAATACCCACAACTTTCCGGGTTTCGAATTCGATATTTTCGATACTAATTGCAAAATGAAAAGCATTGTACAATTCACTTTATAAAGTATTTTAGTTTGAAGTATATATTTCTTTCTATACTTATCTTAATTATAAATCTTTTTTCTAATACTGGCAACCTTTTCTAAACATTTCATCAGACAAACAAAGATGAACGTTATAAAAAATCGACTTCTTCGGTCGTGTAAGAATAAACTTAGAAAAGAATTTCATCAGTTATTAAAAAAAAATGTTTCTTTATTAAATTAGTTTCACAAAAAATCCGTTTCACACTTTAAATAATTTATAAAAACACTCTCAAGAGCATAAAGAGTGAAACATTACTTACAACTGTAGTAAGACTATGTTGTGAGTTTCCTGCGCATGCCCGAGCTGTCACTTCCCCTCGGAATATTGAGTTCACTGTATTGAAAAAACTGGATTTTCCTGCTCCAATTTGACCTACTAATAAGATATTCACTTCAGATAACCCAGAGTCTTCCAGCTCTCATCAATATCTATCAGCATATAAAGTTTGATTAAAATATCTTGGATAGTTTCTTTGAAACTTAGTTTTGAACAAAGCTAACCGCAAAGTATGACGGAAGAGCAGACGCAAGGACAGAAGGAAGAAGGACAGAAGGACGGAAAACGGACATGTCAAACACTATATGCCCCGGCCATATTCATGGTATGCTATGTTTTTGTTTGCATATGTCAAATAAACTAATATATGTTCTTTTAAAGCAGGTTTCTACAATACAGAAGTTCATCCCAACTTCTAATGAGTCTGTTTCTATTTATCTGAGATCCCTAGCTATTGAAATTTAACGAATTACTTATACGGATACAACGAATTACGTTTATAGCGATGTAGTTTCATAGCTCCCAGCGATTTCGTTATAATTGAGTTTTACTGTACTAGTACTGAAAGAGTGATGATTTATTTATTAATTTCTTATTAATTAATAAAAATCAAATTATTTTGTATTCTCTTTGTATAATGTATTTTTTTATTTCAGCTTATTAGATAAATGTATGGTCATTCAGGTGTCACATACAGTGCTACCCTGTTACATGTATTTGCCTTTATGGTTATAATTAAGGTTCAGGCCATAAATCCTATAAGTCATTTGTTTCTGTTGGGTTTTAGTTTTGTGTTCTTGCGTTTTATTGGTTTGTCAAATTCCCTCCAAATGTTCTTGGTCTTTCTGGTTATTCTTTGTCCAGATATTTATCAGAGAGGTTATTGATTCTGGTTGTGAGAGAATTTGATCTAATTCTTACTGAGACTCTCTTCATCTTCTGTTATCATCTTATCTGGACTCCCAGTCATTATTTTCATGATGAGTGGAGCTTGTCAGTATTCCCTCAGAATTGGCAATATTTCTGCTTCTACTATTTAATAAAAAGTACGAGCCCTAGCAGTCGTTTTGAGTTCATTATTACCACCAACCCTCTTACGGTATACCTAATTAAAACGTTGATCTTCAACTGTGGCCCCACCCTACCCAAGGGGTCATGATTTGAAATAAAATTTATACTACCTATGGATGTTTTCATAAAAACTTCATATTTCCTTGCCCAGTGGTTCTTGAGAAGAAGTTTTCTAAAGACTTTTCTATATATTCCTATGTAAATCTTTGATCGTCTATTGCAGCCCCGCCGTAACCCGGAGATCATGATTTGACGAAACTTGAATCTACACTGTCTGAGTATGTTGTCATAGAAGTTTCATCTTTCTTGGCCCACTGGTTTTTGCGAAAATGGCATTAAATTTACCAGTGAATACTTCGCGGCAAGTGTGGTTAAAAAATTTACAGGCAGACGGACAGACAGAAAGCTAAACGGACGGACGGACGCCGGACTAAATGTGATCAGAAAAGCTCACTTAAGCCTTTGGCTATGTTGATCTAAAAATGGTGATTTGATAATTTTACCTGTTCATCCCAGAATGGAGGATCTCTCCATGCTTTACTGGATAGATTTGGACAATGTAAACTTTTACCGACTGTAACATCTGAAAAAGAAAACAGAAAGGATTTTGATTTACTTCAGACAAGTTCAAAGTACTAGTTTTTATGATCTCTCTCGAATTTGAATTTTTACTTCTCCTGTCCTTGTGTTTTTTTTTTTTTTTTTGTTCCTGGGAGAACTATTCAGATTGAAATCTGAATGAAATACGAGAAGGAAAATACAAGAAATCATGTAAGAGATAGCTTCATAAATTAAAATGTATCAAGTTTAGAGATTTCATAGCAAGACCAATAATAATATCAAACTTTAAAATGCTTCAAACATCAGAACAAATTAATGAATGGTGAAAAAACTTGAGCTTCAAAACTTAAACAATAAATAGCCGTTTTAAAAAAAGAATTGAATTTGTTCAAACCTTTAACTTTGTACACTTCCAAATCAAACACGCACATGTGCCCGTTGTTTATTGTATTCATGCTTTCTTTCCCTCTCTCATAGGCATATCTGAAATCAGCCTTTCCATTAAGCTTATAAAAGGGGGTTCCTGCATAGGTTTCTACAATTGGTTCCACACTTCCATAAAATGTTAGTAGATCAACGGTTGTATCCTCAAAGTGGTAATTCTGCAATTCCCATTTCCCGTACGCGGACAGTTTCCTTCGATCCTTTGCAAAACTTTTAGATTCCACAAAATCCAGGACATTCCCTGCACCGAAGGTTGGCCCAAATTCCTTTGACACAAATGCAGCATGAGAAGGTTTAATCACGGAATACTTTCGTGGTTTTGAAACACCGTTGAAGTGTAATGTAAAAAGGAAAGCTTTCTTATCCGAAATAATTGTCGAAGAATGTCCTTCTTTCCAGTCTGCAGCTAGAAATCCTCCGTACACGCTATTCTCAGTATTGTAAAGGACAGTTACCGTAGGACCTTTGTTATCACAGGACTGGTGAAACTTTGACGCCGAACAACCATCACGACTTATTTTATACAGCAATTCAAAACTGCTGCTCTTACCAATGAATGTAGATAACTGTGTCCTGTCCTCTGCTGTCAGTAACTCTTTTATTCTAAACAAAAAATTGAAAATATTATATTATGCATATTGCAGTAAGAAATTGCATATTGTTGTGATTCATCTTGTCTTAATAAAAAACCAATTGCTATTTTCAAACAATCAATAATCGTTACTTTTTTAAAGCTCTTTTATGAACAGGTGAAAAATTATACTTGGCCATCAATGTGTTTGGTTGAGACAACATACATATACATAGACTTTTATTCACATTACAAATTTTTCTGTTTGACTGAACATGACAATGTAGTAGAAGTAGTAAATTCTATCTATAGTCGGTCTAATACATTTACAAAAAAAAATGAGATATAGAGCTCTTTTACCGACTTGTCACATAGAAGCTCATTTATAACAGATTATTTATACATAGTAGAATATAAGGTTTAAACTGAAAACTTAGATTATCATGTTTGATCTAAATACTAGCTGTAAAACTAGAATTTTTAGTGCATACGTATTTTAGCGCAAACGCGATTGGGAATACATTGGCGCAAATAAATTTTAGCGCTTTTACTTGTCATTAAGATATATTAAATGTGATACATGTATTATTCTTTTTTAATCCACGCCCGTATTTGACTTTTTGGTTACGGGTGAAACACAATATAGGGCGCATTAAGAATACCACATTGTTATACACGATTTTTAGAAATGTTAACTTTTTTACATGTAATTTATCATAATTCATTTATAGGCATACTTATAAAGGACTTGTGTGCAAAATTTTGTTGATCTAACTTTAACAGAATATTTAAGTAAATGCAATAAATGTACCCCCAAAATGACCCTTTTTTAGCGTTATGCGGTTGCGCTTTGAAATTAAACCATTTTTCAATTGAAATTATTGTTATATATCATAAATTTTCATGCCAATGATCATTATCAGACTTTAGAATTTATTTTACAAATTATTTTGGTGCTTGAATTTTCAGGATTGAATGACAACTTTTGAAGATATCATGGAAAATGTAATAGGGGTGCAATGTTATACATTTTTGACATAATTTCACCCCTCTCATTATGCCAAATAAAAATAATGTCCATATCATTTATTTTCTCAGATTTCTGTCTAAAATCACAGTATTAATGCTCTGTTACTTACAGAAAAAAGTTGGGTTAATGTAACAATTGAAATGAAATTTCATCATGTTTTAATGTGGAAAATTAAGGTTTTACAAAAAACTGTAGTGTCCGTAACCACTTTCATTCTGTGAAATTGGAAAGCTCTATAAATATCTTTACTAATTTCCTAGATAGGCATCTCATATAGATGCTGAGATGTTTTGTAATTTTCCTGATCATCAGCACTGTTTGTCTGTTTTCATTACAAATGTGGTTACGGACACTACAAAACCCTGTAGTGTCCGTAACCTGAATTTGAGGCAGTTTGAAACAGGCAGTGTAAAAACACTAATGCAAATTTGTTCACAAGGGTCAGAAGTTTGTTTAACAAGTTAGTCAATGTACTTTATTTTTCTCCCTCATTTTGATATTGCAACTAATTTGGGAAACCCAGATTGCACCATTTTCATATACAAGATCCTTGGTGTTACATCACCTTAATATTGGCAGATGCTATTGACATCCTAGGATTTAAGTCAAATAGCATGTCATTATTTTTTCATTGTTTAAGTCAACTGGTGTTACATTTAAGAAAATCTTGTTGAACTTCCTTTATTTAAGGTATAGTTTTATCCTATTGTAAATGACTTGTAGAGTGTGTAGTGTCCGTAACCAAAAGTTGCAAAATAAAATATCTTTATTTTTTCTCCATAGAATTTACAGATAAATTTTTGAAACAGTGTATTATTGAATGTAGAGATAAAAAGGTGTTTATTAGTTGGAATTCTTTTAGATCATGTGGTTTTTTTCTTTACTGCAAGTACTAAAATAATGATTGGACACCCACAATGACATATAAAAATAGTTTGAAATTATTATCACTAGCTACATAAACCATATTTTTTGTGAATATTGCTTCAATTGTTTAGTTGCTTATTAGGTAAAATCTTAAAATGTGTTAAATGCAGGTAAATTTGCATTCAAAATGTTAAACAGTTGGGAAGTAATTTGGTTACGGACACTACAAACAATTTCAAAAAAGAAAACAGCTAAAATTACACCAATTTCATATAAAGTATTGTATATTTAACTGTTTGAAGAAAAGAAAAAATAATTGAAGAAATATTAGTGAGCTTTATTCTTCAAGGTTTGACTTTTCTACTTACGCATAACACCTGTCTAAAGTTACATGACATTGTGTATATATTTATTCAAAGTATATTGGTTATGGTATGCTTGTAACAGATGAAGTTGAGATCTGAAGAATAAAAAAAATCAGGAGAAAATGAAACAAGAAATAAAATGCTGAAAAAAGATAGGAAAAGGGCTTAAAAACAAAAACTTCACCCACAAATATGTGAAAAATTAAAGTATTGTGTAGTGTCCGTAACCCTTAAATTTGGTTAATTGACATCATTGATCATTGTACCTACATTCTAAATAGTTTTCATAAAACTTTAATGAATAATAAAACTTTTCTTTTGCACTTCAGTGATAAATACATGTAGTTATGTGAAAGAAGGAAGTTTCAGGATTTCCTAAAGTGGATTTTTTTCTATTGGCATTAGTTCTGCAAGTAAATTGTTTTTACTTGAAACAATAGCTAATTTGTATATACTTTGTATTTAATAATCATTTAAATCTGATTTATAATAGTTCAGAAGTTCATAAAATGTTTTTTTACCACAAACCAAATGCCAATCATAAATATTTGGGTTTTGTAGTGTCCGTAACTTAATGAAGCTATCAAATAATTTTAGAAAATTTATAAAAATGAAATGTCCTATTTTAATGGAAGTATTTATATCCCACCAAACGCATAAAAAGTGTTATTTACAAATAGTTTTTTCTTTATTTATATTGGTTTTAAAGAGTTCACATGAAATGAAATACATGTACTACCATTTTGAACAAAAATGTACGAAGTAAGAACTGTTTAAATTTTTAAGTACAATGTCACCTTTTTAGTCAAAATTTTGTCCTTATTTTGTATTTATATATGTTCTTTGTTTGTAAGCAGTTGAAAAAATTAGAGCTTATAAACAGTTTTTGATATTTATTTCAAAGAAAACAACACTTGTAGTGTCCGTAACCTGTGAAAATGAGGTTATTATCAGCTTGTAAAAAACAAAGTTCTAATGTGAATTTCACAAAACCGTTTACGCTTGAAATCCTTAAGATACTCTACTTTTTAGAAAAAATGTTTTTGGGGCAAAACGAAGACATTAATTTTTTACCCCATAGTGCAACCTTACTGTCCCCTATATTGTGTTTCACCCGTTAGTCAAGCACGGAACGCAATTTTAGCATTCATGTATATAAGTAAACAGTCGTCAACTTTACCGTGGTGTTGCAATCACATACACGTTGCACAATGTATAATTTAATCTTATTTTGTCTCCAAGCTCAATTGCCATGATTGATTGCATTGTTTACCTCGAGGCGATAGATGATCGACACGCCGAGAAGCCAAACTTTGGTGCTAATGATAAATATCAGGTAACAACTAACAACAGTTTAATTAAATAAATTATGATTTGGCAGAACTGCCTCGATTGATTCCACCATGTACACTGCTTGTGTGTATATAAAATCCAACGACCCTTCGACATTACGTAATTGCGCGTTCCGGTGTAAAAACGAATAATGACCCCCATCGAATAATGACCGGGGGGTCATTTTTCAACGACAAAAAATGACCCCCACCAATAGAAAAAAATCATTTTTTGTAGAAAAAGAGTCCTAGGGGCTCATTATTTTATATGTTAGTCCTATAAAATAATGACCCCCATTGAAAAATGACACCCTTTAAAGTGATACAAAATATACACTCTTTGATATCTTTTTTACAGCGAAACTAATTTTTCCATTTTCTGTAACCAGAAAAATACAAAAATTCGTATGAAATAATTAAGAGATTCACGTAGTCTTTCAATGCTAAAATTGTGTTTGAAAAATTGTCAAGTAAACAAAATTTCTTTTTAATATTCCTCCTTGTAATGTTTGCTTAAAAAATGATATTCCACTTGTTTTTAGAAATCAAACCATGCAAAAATAAGGTTTAAATACTCTTTAATAGGAAAAATTAAATTTTCCGTCATTTCAACTTTTAGTTTGTTTAAGTTTGGCAAATCCTATTTGACAATGAAAGAGGGGGAAATTTTTATCCCCCCCCCAAAAAAAAAAGAACATTACGTTAAATGAAAACAAAAAAAATAATAATAAATGAAAAGCAAAAATATAAAGAAAACTCTATACCTTTCAATAATTCTGAAAGAGGCTCTAGATAAAATATTGAAATGAAGTTAAGCCTTCACACAAGTACTATCATATCATAATTTACTTCGCCATGATTAAAGCATACTTTAAATGTTGGTGGAGGTATACTTGAAAGTATTGTGGCAAAGTAACAGTTAAAAATTAGTAGAATGGTAGATTATTTTAAGCTTATTTTTAATTCCTTCTTATAGAAAAATAAAGGTAGGGTGTTTTTTTTGCTTTTGTTCAATACCGACTTCCACCTACATAAGAAAGGGGGGGGGGTTAAGTATAAGACCTAAAAATATGCTCTGTAAAGCTATGGGCTAGTGTAAAATACACAGTCATTCTAATGCAAAAACTATACATGTAGACATAAGTTTTTGATTTAGCACACAGTATTCATTACATTTCTTTCAACGTAGAACCTACTTTGTATGACATCATAACTGGTAAATGTGTTTAACCTGTGCTAACCCATTAAGACGTCATAATAAATTCAATGCCACTTTTTCCCGTACTTGACAGCTTCAATAGAAATGGAGAAAATACTGCATTTTGAAATTCACAGAATTTAATCATGCCAACATATTCTTAATTAAATTCATATATTTTTTGGTTTATAATGCTTAATGGCAATATATTTCTGGAATAAGAGAAAATATGTAGGCACCTTTTATTTACTAGATCTAGACCTGCAGTTGACAAACCCACGACTATCTAGTGTGATGAAAATTACAATGTACATACAACTTTCGTAATAATTTGAATGGTATGTTACCATTTTGAAGGAATGCATAAATCGTAAGAAATCTTTAGTTGCCAGCTATATAGTGTAATATCTTGATGAAATGTGTCTAAGTCAAAGATGTACGTGTTGTAGATCGTTTGATCGTATGTACATTTTTGTGATATCTATAATGACATGATGTGCATTCCTTTTAACAATTATTTGTCACCTATTCATATTCTTGGTGTTTGATTACAATTGTTCTATTAAATATGATCTTTTTAAAGTAAAAGTACAATTTCTGATAAATATTTAATCTGAAAGTAACCCCAAACAGTCATTTAATTATTAAATCCCATGTACCGTATATTCTCGCCTATAAGTCGGTCCGCCTATAAGTCGGTTGTATTTTAGAAGTTCATTTTAGAAAGATTGACCTTCTATAATACCAGTCTTTTTATATCTCGCATAGAAGTCGGACATAGAGTTTTGGTAGAAGTATAACTCCCAAAAATCCGACTTATAGGCGAGTATATACGGTAAGTGCAAAAAGGTCAAGAATATGAGTATCGGTAAATAGCCTATCTTTCATTACTTATAGGTGAAATGTATATATTTTAATAACTTTTTGTAATCATTTGGCTATATTCTTCATCATATTGAAGATTGAAACATTGTGACAAAGACTTCTAAAAAACATTTACAAATGTAGGGTGCATAATTGACTAAAAATAATAGAGTTCATTTGACTATTTTTTTAATGGTGGACTTATCTTTTATGTTAATTGAATAAAAAAGAAATTATTCTTGAAAAAATATTGTTTAATATTATTCAGTTAATAAAGTTTATAAACGACGATGTTTGAAGAAGTATTTTTCTGATTTTTCATATTCCCTTTATGACAAGTACCCCTAAAAACATTTGAAAATGTGAAGTCGCAGTATGTAAATACCATACCAAGTTTCACAGCCTGTTCTAGATTAAAAAACAAGGAAACATATCATGATATTTTAACTGATTGATAAGCAAGTACTAGTTTATCATTTTGAAAAGTTTGAAAATCTTGTGACAAAGACTTTTCCGACATACGTTCTACCTTAATTCTTGTTTTACTCCACCCTTTTACTCAGATCTGAGTATATTTTTCAGAGAATTTAATATGAAAATCAGAACAAACATTTTCATTGTTGTAACGTCTTCTTTATAATGTATCATAATATGAAAAGTTAATTGAAGACCATTTCTTTTTATGTCCCCGTAATCGAAAATTCGGGGTATATAGTTTTATCGTGTTCGTCTGTATGTCCGTCTGTCTATCTGGCGGTTTGTTTATCCGCAAAAACCTTAACCTTGACCATAACTTTTCATTTATTGGAGGTATGACTTTCATATTTAATATGTGTATTCCTTGTGACAAGACCTTACTTTGAGTACCACCAAATTTGACCTTTTGACCTTTACCTCGGAGTTTGTCCCATTTTACACAAAAATGCCAAATTTTTACTTTAGCCATAACTTTTAAACGGTAGATACTAGTACTCTCATACTTTAAATATGTAGTTTTTTGGCATTACCTTTTATTGGATGCTAAAAAAATTGGCCTTTTGATCCTTAACCTTGGAGATTTCCGTACTTATGATTTTTTTACCTTGGCCATAACTTTTGAACGGTAAGGGCTAGGGTATTCATACTTCACATATGTAATCCTTGTTACATTAAACATTTTCTTAAGAAATCATCAACTTTGACCTTTGAGTTTGACCTACCTTTCAAAAACTTATTTCATATTTTGCAATTGTATTTCTTGTGAGAAGACCCTACTTTGGGTAACAATATATTTAAATTGCATTTCAGAAAAGTTTAATCTTCGCTATGTTGCCATACAGGGGCATAGCTGTTTCACAAACACATCTTTTTATATATGATGATTTGCGTATAAGAGATGGATACCTCAAAGCGTAACAGACGGACGGACGGACATCCCGATCACTATATACCCTCCCGCTTTTCAAGCGGAGGATATAATAATATATAATACTGCTGATTTTTTCTGTCAGTTCGATGATTTCCACCATCAAAAACAATGTTTACCTAACCCTTAAGGCTCGATAAATCTTTTACTCTTTTAGATTCTGAATCATTGCATTGACCTTAAAATATAGCTATAATTGTATAATGTAATGAGATCAACATATCATCAGTTTATTCCCAGCTCATGTGAGCATTTTGGCCAATATGCTTCTTTATTTATTTTTTTTAATTTGCCCCCTAAAAAATTTAGCTTTAATCTACAGGGGGTCATTTTTCTACGGGGGTCATTTTTCTTCACGTGGGTTCTGCAAATTTTCAGGGTGGTGACACTTTTTCTACGGGCAAAAGGGTCATTTTTCTACGTCGAATAATGACCGGGGGTCATTTTTCGCTGTAGAAAAATGACCCCCGGTCATTATTCTATGGGGGTCATTATTCGTCTTTACACCGGCTCACATGCATATGCTCTTATGTGAAAGCTTTGAACATACACAACAACATAATATTTAGAATTCCGTTAGCGCACAATAAATTTAAGCATTTAGGTGTAGTAGTGCGCCAAATATTCTCGTTTTACAGTATAGGTTTCTTTTTGTTGAGTATATTTAATGTCTGATTCACTTTAGTTTCCATCAATAAATGAGGATATACTCAAAATTAAATTCTAGTGAATCCAAGGACCATAGCTCTGACTTAAAGCAAGAATGGGTTAGGGCCATTTTTTTGTTCAACTTATGTTAACGACAACCTTAATTAGAAAACATTCATTATTTTCGAAGGCTTACATGTTTTTAAATATTTCACTTCGAAACAAGATGTCATTGTGTTGCATAAAATCATGTGAAATTAATATCACTGCACTATATTGATTACATTTAGATAGCGATTCAACTTATTAAGAATTAAAGGGACAAGGTATTTGTAATCTTTTACGCTTTTGGGGGGATCTACAATGAAACACAGACAACATGGCTTTCTTTAATTTGAACAGAACAAACATTTCTTTTTACAAATTAAATGCATGGCTAACGGTAATATGTTTAACATACCAGGTAAAAAATACATAACGACAGTTCACTTTCATACTTCATAGGTTTGTTTATTGTCAAACGAAATATTGTTAAAGATTTAGAATTTTGTTCATTTAGTCTTTTTCCTTAAACCCCCCGCAATAACCTCTTTGAGCAGTTTTAACAAGAGCCTTCATATCTTACAAATGAAC